AGTATTATCTGGGCGTGGCTCTCTGCAGATCTGCTTTCCTCCACAGAGATACTCACATTTTGAAATATGTGGAATTCTAGCAGTTTAAGTAAGGTCAGGTGAAGGAAAGTGTATTGTCCCCGAGACACAAAGGGCTCCAGAGCCACTTCAGCTGCATGACACACAACTCCACACAGATTTGGGCCACATCTCAATTCTCTTTCCTTGCCTTCTTCTCCCCTGCTCCCCTCCTCGATTATGCAGGAAATGAGTGAGGAAGTCCCGGCCACAGAGGAGACACAGAGAAGTAGAGGAGAAGAGAAACAGAGGAGAGAAGAGAAGAGAAGAGAGGGAGAGGAGAGAAGAGAAGAGAGGAGGAGAGGAGAGAAGCAGAGGAGAGAGGAAGGAGACACCAAAGCGACCCTATAGTGAGGATTATAGGGATTATTATATATTATCATTTCAGGACTTTTAAATCAAAGTCAGACCAACGTTTCTCAGATTTTCAGATAAATGAACATAGTTTGAACATATATTTGTATATATTAATAATATTAATAATATTCAGGATTATGTAACATGCTTTGCTGCTGTCCCTGTATTTGTGCTGTTGCCACAAGACAAACTCTTCACCATGAGACGGTTATTTTAAGTGATATCTGCTTCTTGACCTCTCGCTCGGGTTTCCTGTGTGCTGTTGAGCTCAAGGAGAGGGAGTGTTGCACCACTTTTTCAATAGATTTGGTGTCTTATCACAAACGTCACTGGTGCTGCCATTTCAGTATCATCCCACAACAACAGTGACGCTGCTCAGTCTTTTGATCTCTTTTCCTCATGCGACTGCCCTGCAGTGCATCACAGCAGCTCAGGTGACAGGTCAGATTAAAAGATTCTCTGCCAGTAAAGCAGCAGATGGAATATGTCCAAGACACCTGAAAGCCTAAAATCACAACTTGCCAGTCGCCCTGATATCACATGATGAAAACAATGGAGCGACTGGTAATTCCACCACCAGCTCAGACCCGAGATCAGCCACACCCTCAACCCTCTGCAGTTTGCTTATCGGGAGAAAGTGGGAGTTGGCGACGCTGTGCTCTACCTGCTCCATACGTCCCTCTCTCATCGTGACAAAGGCAGTTATACTTTGAGAATGACCTTCTGACCTCTGCTGCTCAAAAACAAACTAATGGAGAGGAGAGTGGATTCTGCTCTGGTTAGTTGGATACAGATGACCGCAGTGGCTTGATTCACTCACATCTTTGGCTTAGCAGAGGACCCCAAACAAGCTTCAGTCCATCCTGGAGAACCCCCAGAAGCACCTGCACAGCACCATCACGGGCCAGGAGAGCTCCTCAGGGGACAGATCAAATTCATTTTTATTTTTAGGGTTAGGTTTTTCAGCTTTTAATCATCTCTTGTGCACCTGTTGGGGAAAATAACCCTTTTCCTCGCGTGGTCTTTAGTTTCTGCTTAGATAAAAAATTACACTTGAGACAGAAATAAAGTCTAGATAATTTACTGATTCCAAAGTCATACGTGTACAAGGAGTCTGTGCTGACATTCCCATGCAGAGACTGAATATTTACGCCTATACGATGATTTTTATACGAAAACTATAGTGGGAGGCGACCGTGGTTTAGACTTAGTTCCTCTTCGTTGGTGCTCAAACCAGCCAGGCCTCTTGGCACGTTGCACAATCTTTTTGTGACAAGGATCTCCCGGATTCATTTCACTCCCCTTATGGGAGCGTCTTGCTGGTCTGATCAGGGTGATGAGTCGTGAGTCTGCATATCCCTATCAATAAGTCCTTGCCCTATTAAGTTAATTGATTAGACATACAGATAGAAATAGATTATCTTGTACATGAAATAAAACTATCTCTGCATCCCTCAGCTGTAATCTAGTCCCTGTTTTCTGGGTCATTGTAGAGTGAATTATAATAGTCAGTGTTGGGGAGTAACAGATTACATGTACCGGAGTTATGTAATCAGAGTACAAATTATGAGTAACTGTATTCAGTTACAGTTACTGTTTCAGTGAGTGGTAATTGGATTACAGTTACTTTGTTGAAATAAATGGATTACACAGAGGGATTTTCCTGTTTTCACATTTTGGGCTAAACCAGGTCTAAAACCAAATCTAAACCAGGTCTAAAACCAAATCTAAACCAGGTCTAAAACCAAGTCTAAACCAGGTCTAAACAGGTCTAAAACCAGGTCAAAATCAGGACTAAACCAGGACCAAATCAGGATTAAAACAAGGTCTAAACTAGATCTAAACCAGGTCTAAACAGGTCTAAAACCAGGTCAAAATCAGGACTAAACCAGGACCAAATCAGGATTAAAACAAGGTCTAAACTAGATCTAAACCAGGTCTAAACAGGTCTAAAACCAGGTCTAAACCAGGACTAAAACCAGGTCTAAACTAGATCTAAACAAGGTCTAAACAGGTCTAAAACCAGGACTAAACTAGATCTAAACCAGGTCTAAACCAGGACTAAACTAGATCTAAACCAGGACTAAACCAGGATTAAACCAGGATTTAACAGGACTAAATCATGCTGCGTGGACGTGTCTCCTCTTCTTCTATCAATAATATTTTTAATTTGGTTCAGTAAAGTCTGTGCTTTTTATTTTCTTTTATCAGACAAAACTTCTTATGTGAAGATTTCCTCGCCTTTGCTTCTCTACAGCAAATCAAGTAATCCAAAGTATTCAGATTACATTACTCACTTTAAGTAATTTAATGGATTACAAACTACATTCTGGGGTATAATAAAATACCTAAACCTAGTTATTTATCCTAACACACCTTTCAAAGCTGGAGTGAACGTTAAGGGTGAACCGGTGCTACAATAAACAATAACAATACTTCAAATTGCAATATTAGTCTGTCATTTTCCACTCAGATGGTAGAGTGCAGAGCCTACAGACCCTGTAATGACTGGTCTGGGTCAAACTCCATTGTGTGTTGTGTATAGGTTGGTTATCTATATGAGTGCGTCAGCCATTGTGCCATTGTACCGCGGCTCCATGGAGCAAACAAACAGCATTACAAATGGGTACTTGTAATCCAATATGCACCAACCTACGTTTTTGTGTGTCCGTGGGTAAGAGGTACACATGTTCAGATTAAATATAGCTTTTACTGATTATTCTGAATTACAAAAAAAACACTAGACATCACAGTCGAGGTGTTCATGCGCTAATGTTTAGGTTTAAGACGATTTTCCGATCAGAAAGCCGAATGAGCCTCACGTGAGTCTCACATTTGGGTTGCCAGTTTCTGAAATCCAGTGTGTTTAAACCTAAAATGCTTTTCTCTGATCTGAGTGGTCACCTTCAGCCTGTTATGAGTCAGTGCTAGTGCAGCCTCTGCAGCTCAGGGAGGGGATTCTGGAGTTTCCACACAAAGTTTGTCCATAAACTGAGAATGGAGAAATTTGGATGTGTCCTTTACCTGCAGGTTCAGGCTCTGGCAACACCGGTTCAGTTGTAAAAAATGAATTTGAATCTTCTGTATTTTACTTTTATAAGATAAACACATGTATTACAATGTTTTCATCATGTAATGTTTGGGATTTGGGACGTATGCATCTGAAAAATTGATATAAATCCTGGTTTATTTAGTATTTGAGTAAAGTAAATCTTCAAAATTCAAAATTGTCTCATTTTGTGAGGTTAGAATTACCCTTTGGTGCGATCGGTAATAATAGACCGGACATGTCAAACTCATTAATTATAATAGTATAATGAGTAAATATAATTATATTTGGCCCATGAGACAATATTACATATGTATTAGAGCTGCCCGCTGGCTACAGATCAGCTATAACGACATTATTTATTTAAAATGTTATTATTATTTTATATTCTGCTTGTTCTGGATTCAGTGTTTAAGCAAAACTATTATTAAACATTTATTTTAATAAGCAAAGTTTTAACATTACATATCTCAAAATAAGAGAAAACATGAGGATGATTTGAACATTTTCAGTAAATATTTAGTTTGGGCCACGACTTTTTGACTGGTTTTTACTTTTGGCCCTCTGTGAATTTGAGTTTGACACCCCTGTAACAGACTACAGATCATATAAACTGAAGTAAGTTTATGAAATGAAACCTCTCCAGGTGCAGATTGGACATGGTTGTTGTTTTTAGGTGAAAGCTTGTATGTCCAGAACCTGCAGTGTCACGCCTTAAAAAACAAAACAAAAAAAAATGTAACTGCACATCTGAACAGAAACAGAATACAGTGATGTAACCTGAAAGTCACATTCAAAAGACCATTGTAAAAACAGGAACTCTCTTCATGTCTGATGTGCATCTGCGTTGTTCAACACTGCCCTCTAGTGTTCAGAGCCTGATTCATCCTGAGCCTGGTTCAGTGCCAAGTGAACTAAAGTGTGACACCATGACTTCACAACATTGAACTTTTTCACAATATTTAAATTTTCCGAGACAGAGTTTTGGGTTTTCATGATCTGTAAGTCATAATCATGAAAATATATAAAAAATAAATAAATAAAGGCATGAAAGCTTCACTAGACTGATAGATGTCATAGATGATAGTAGACTATATAGAAGATAGATAGATTAAATAGACAGATAGATAGATAAATAGACAGATAGATAGATAGATAGATAGATAGACAGATAGATAGATAGATAGATAGATAGATAGATAGATAGATAGATAAATAGACAGATAGACAGATAGATAGATAGATAGATAGATAGATAGATAGATAGACAGATAGACAGATAGATAGATAGATAGACAGATAGATAGATAGATAGATAGATAGATAGATAGATAGATAGATAGATAGACAGATAGATAGATAGATAGACAGATAGATAGATAGATAGATAGATAGATAGATAGATAGACAGATAGATAGATAGATAGATAGATAGATAGATAGATAGATAGACAGATAGATAGATAGATAGATAGCATAATTAAAATCATACATACATACAATACCAGTCAAAACTTTTAGAACACCACTCTTTTTCCAGTTTTTTACTGTTTACTGTTGACCAAACTTTTGATTGATGCAAGTTTCCACCTTTGGCAGATACAACAGCTGAACACACACACATTCTTTTTACAATACAAATCAAATATTCTTCAGAAAGCAAACAGAGATACATGACTTCCACAAATAAAAATGAGCAGTCACCTAGAATCCAAACCTAGTAGCTTTAAAGCTTTAAAAAGCTGCAGTATAGCCTTGTTTTTATGTCATTATGTAAATTAAGGATCTAGTTATAATATTTATCTGATAATATATATATATGTATATTTATATATATATATATACAGTATGTTAGTATTTGTTTTCTGGACTTTTTATGAAATCCATTCAATTAAAGAGAACTTTGATTAGCTGGCGTCTATGCTATTACGCGAATTAGCATTCTTATAACTGGTAAAGAAAATATGTGTAATCAGCACCCTCAAATTATGGGAAATAGCAAATTACCAACTTTTTCTGAAAGTATTACTTGGAATTATTCTCAGTCTAATGACAATTGTTTATTACACCGTGCGGTTCTTCACGAAAGGTCAAATTTTACCCAGTTATATGACTTTTTGATGCTTGCATAAATGCGTATCTTGTTTTACATGCCAGTTTTGGTTTCCATACTTTTGGCAACCGTAACCGTATGCACCTTGTCTAATTTCTGCTGTGAAACTATCAGCAGACTAATTGAGTTTCCATTACATTTCCACAATTTTGGGCCAATTAGGCAAAACACATTTCTCTTTCCAGCTGTAAACGAGTCCCAGTCCTTAGGCAGTCTGCTCAGCTGTAGATGTAGAAGTACTTGTGCAGTATCTCTCGTACCATTCCGATCATTCCCAGAAAAGACAGGGAGAAGAAGACAGCCACGGACACCCAGAAGCCCGGCAATCTGGAATGCAAAGGAGGATTATTTAGGGATAATCTGAGAGCAGAGGCTGAGGAGGCCGGTGGTTCTGCTGCTGCGATGCAGACGATGGATGGCAGGCAGGGTTCCCACTCTTTTTCACAGACAAAATTTCAAAACTTTCCCTGACTTTTTCTAGCCTGATTCATCAGCCGGTTTCATTTCGTAGAAACCGTCTGACCTCGCAGTGTTGGAGTTTGTTCGCTCGACAGTAGGCGTGTACTTTTTTAATTTAACCAATCGCTGCTACTTGGTCGTGACGTATGTAATGCTCCACTAACGGGGGTAACTGGTATATTAAGCTTTTCCCAAATCCCGTAGGAAGAAGGACAATATCGTCTTAAATTCACCAAACATTCTCTTTGTTCCGGCTTTAAATCCTCGATCTCGGGAATCGTTTCCAATACAGAATGTCTGGCTCTTCGCTGATTGGCTGGTGCCCAAACTTGCACTTCTGATGTTTTTGCAAATCGTCTAGTGTATTCTGATTCCTGAACTAGTCGCTGGAGAGAAATGAAATTAAGTGGAGGCACTAGGTGGCGCCAGCTTGGCTAACTGCTTTTGGAATCGGTCGACTTTTGGCTTAATCATGAAAAAAACAGTTCCTCTTTGTTTTTCAGTGCGTACACAAACAAAAAACTGTGACTTTGAAGTGACTATGCACAACGAGAAAATTCAAGCAGTCAGTGAAGTTAAATACCTTGGCCTCATTCTAGATGAAAATTTTAAATTTATCGGTCACACAAAATACTTGGTGAAGAAGATTAAGATTAGTCTCAGTTGCTTTCGTTTCATACGTAAAGATCTATCGCTCCACACCTCTAAACTCTTCATGAACGCAATGATCTTCTCTCATCTTATTGTATCACCTCATGGTCCCAGGCTCCTCAACTACATTGAAACCGCTTTGTTCATTATACAAACTGACCCTTAAGATCCTTGACAAAAAGCCCAAACACTGGCACCACTGTGAAATTACAAAGAAACATCAACTTTTTAACTTTGAAAATTTTATCAATTTTAATAATCTTAAATTATTTTTTAAGTGTCTTAACTGGGATACACCATTACACTCAGAATTTGCCAGGACCATAAACTGTTCACACAGGAGCGAACACAAGAGGAGCTACTAGTGGGAATTGTGTTGTTCCTCGGTACAGGACGACTCTTGGTCAGTCCTCTTTCTCTTTTACAGGAGCCAGTCTGTGGAACTGTTTACCAGCTCATTTAAAATTGGAAACCAACTACAACAAATTTAAAAGGAAATTAAAATTATTGTATGTTTCCAATCAAAACTGCATCCACTGAAAATGTACTGTATATATTTTATCTGTATGTAATTTATGTGTCATGTATTCTCTATTTTTATGTAGTTTATATTTTTATATGGACAGGTGTTGAAAACTTGCACTTGTGCTAAAACACTCAAAGCAATGCATCTGGCTTGTCTAATGCGATTGTGATGTCCTTAATAAACATAAATAAAATTAAAATCGAGTGTCGTACTTCCTGTAGTAAACGTGGGGTAACGAGAACCAACTAATACCTCAGACCAGCTCCCGATCGGCAATCGTAGGTCGCAAGAATATCAGACCTTTTTGAAATCCAGTGGCCTCTCGTGAAGGTTTCACACCGTTGCACGAGCTGTGAACTTTTAAACTCTGTGATTTGGTCGTACAGTTTGAGCTGAGGCTGAGTGAAATGATTGAAAATATCACAGTGTACGTCTGGTATTAAGTTAGATTAGGTCTATTTTATAAAACAAAACAAAGCAAAACAAAACAAACAAAATTCTCTCCTCCTTCATTCTCTTTCAAAAACAACCCTCCCCCATCTCCTCCGCCACAGCAGGAGATTCAGCCTCCTCAGCCTCTCCACCTCCTCCTCTTCACCGCCACAGTGTATAGAGTTAAGTGTTAAGTTAAGTGCAGTGTCTCCTGGTGGCCTGAGGTTCTGACCGTTTTGTGCGTGGCCCTGACGTAGCCGTTGAAGTAGAGGTGGCGTCCCACGATGAAGACCAGGCCTCCCGCAGCGGCGATGGGCTCGCTGAAGAACACGCCACAACTCCACATGGACACCAGGAACAGCGGGTAGAACTCCACACAGTTCTGACTGCACAAAAACACACACACACACACACACACACATACTTAGGGGTAGAGGTTTACGTTCGAGGTAGAAAGATAGAAAGCACAAAAAAGTTGACTTTGCACAACACCTCGTCTCTAAAGAGCACTTATTATGCCGCGTTTTTCCATTTTAAATATGTTTTTGGTCACCTTGTGTTAAGGCTCGTGGTCCCCGTTTGTTTTATCACTTGTGCCTTCCGTATTTGCGTGTCCTGTGTGGTGCGATGTTCGTTGTCTTGTGGTTGGAGGATTGACATCCTACTCATCCAATCCCCTTCCAACACAGCCATCGTCCAATAAAAGTGTCGTGCGCCTGTTCCACTGACTCTCAGGCTGGCGGTGCGATTCCAAATCTCACAGGTGAATGCCGTCGTTGTTCAAAAGTGGCTCAAGAACTTGCGTTTGCAACTCAACATGAAGAAAACTGTCTGCATGGATGTTCAGTAAAAAAACAACTGATCTACAGCGGTCCAAGGTCTTTCTGTGAGCTCCCACACAGACGCACCACATTTGGACAAAGTGTGTTTCAGACTGCGTTCTGACTGCAGCCTGAAGTGACCCAATCTGATTTTTTGGCCCCTGTGCTCTTGTATCTGATCTTTTAATGACAGTCTGAATGACACAGATCTGATTTTTTCAAATGTGACCCAGGACACTTGGATATGTGCTCCTGAAACTGATACATATCTGATCTTTTGACATGTGACTTCAGTCTGAACTGTCAAACTGCATTCATCCGACCTACACGTTATCAACAAGCCACAAACGTCACTATTCTGCGCTGAAGTAGGCAGAAAATTGTTAATGAACTCTGTGTCACTGAAGTGAAGCACATCACCACTCACCACTCTTGGCTTCGTCTCCACATCCACACGTTCATTTCAACGGACGTCGACTGCCGCTGCCCCACAAAACACCACGACCAAAAACCTCGTCCTTCTCCTTCTCAATCTCCTCCTTAAAACAAGTAAGTTGTTCATGTTCTGGCTCCGGTACGAGAGGAACTTTAAAATCTCCAGGTGCTCAATGCTGCGTCCATGTTTGGACAACTTCTGTAAACACAGAGCACGCTCGCTGCGGTTGACGTCGTCGTGTCTCCAGTGCACATGTGGGACACTTTCGGGCCGTTTAATGTTCACACTGGAGATCACATACAAGTCACATTTAATTGAAAATGTGAACGACCTCGAAAAAACATCGGATTTCACAAAAAAATCGGAATTGAGCGTTAAGCCCTGCAGTCTGAACGTAGTCTCAGTCAGAGGCACAAAATTTTGGAACAGTCTCCCTTTATCAATAAGAGAAATTCCAACATTTGCCACTTTCAAATCCCACTTGAAACAGCAGCTAAAGGAAAACCAGACTTGTGGACATTTTTACTTTAGAACTGTCACTTGTTTTTGTTGTTTTTTTCTTTGTTAAATTTGTGGTGTTACCTGCCGAGGGACTACAGACGGAAATTACACGGCATATTTACACCGCAGTGCTGTAGATGTTCATTAATTAACATGCACTGTCCCTTTTAAGTAAATTTTTAAAAAGGCTGTCGTTGTGTCTTTGGGCAAGATACTTAAGCCACCTCACCCCTCAGTAACATTTACTGAAACACTTACTTTGTGACATAATACATAACAGTCGCCTATATTCTCAATAAAGTATAAAAGCTGCCGATAGCAAACAGAGATAAATGACTTCCACAAATAAAAATGAGCAGTCACCTAGAATCCAAACCTAGTAAAAATCTGAATATGTACAGTATGTTGGTATTTGTTTTCTGGCCTTTTTATGAAATCCATATACCTGGCGCCTGATTGGTGGGGTGTGGTCCCGTCGCTGTTGGGCTGGTTCTAATGTTTGTCGTGCCGTGGTTGGAGGATTGTCCCTTTCCTGCACATCCCATCGCCTCGTCCAATAAAAGTGTCACGCGCCTGTCCCTCCTCGCGGCTGGATCTCAAGTTTCAGTTCGAGTGATTGTCGTGTCTCTTGTTGTCCGCTGTTTGCAAAGTTTGAACTGTGTGATAGGGACGGGCATTCGATGAAATTTTCTTAATCGATTGTCGGAAGAATTAACAGTCGATTATCGATTAATCGTTAATGTTTTTATATTAAAATGATCATCATTATTATTACCTGCGCCAAGGAGGTTATGTTTTTGCCGGCGTTTGTCTGTTTGTTTGTCTGTTTGTTTGTTTGTTTGTTTGTTTGTCTGTTAGCAACATAACTCAAAATGTTATGGACCGATTTTGATGAAATTTTCAGGATTTGTTGGAAATGTGTAAAGGAAGAACTGATTTCATTTTGGGGGTGATCCAGAAGAAATCCTGGATTCTGGATCACTTTGAAATTTTAGTTAACATTGTGGTAAATGGGGCCAAAAATGTTGTTTCTCAATATCTCGGTTAATTATTGACCAAACCCCATGAAATTTGACCCAGGGATGGACAATGGGATCCTCTTTCATATTCCAAAGGCTGATCCGGATCTGAGCCAGAAGACTGATTTTATCGCAATTTATATTAAAAATGGGGGTAGTCCTTGGCGGAGGTCTGCGCTCTCTGAGTGCTTTTCTAGTTACTATCTGCACTACTAATCTGCATAAATAAATTCAACTTTACGACATATAAACCGTAACGACTCTAGAGCCACATCAGCCGTTTGACATTATAATGTGTTTAATTCAGTTTGCTCAACTCTCACAGAAACGAAACTTAAAACCGAAACGCTAATTTACTAATTTTTACTAATTTACATAAACTAAGAGAAGATAAAACTACAGCTCTTGTGTCGCTGATGCTTTTAATTTCTGTCGGATTAAAAGACATGACTCAGGTGAATACAGGTTAGTGTGACCATATTTGCGTTTGTCAAAACCAGGACACTGTACGGGGGGAGGGAGGTGGGGACTCCTCATCGACATTGAGCGACTCTCACCTGGTAAAACTTTTTCCCACTGGACACTGAAACATATGTGCTGCTTTATACACTGTGCACATGGACTCACACTTGTCCCGAACGCAATGGAAAGCGTGGAATTTCTTGTAGAAGTCATCGTTAAATACGCATTTGTGCTTCGGTACGTTACAGACTGACCCACTGTTTGTGTCTCGCTCCTTCTGAGTGCAGAGAGCTACATGTACACACCTGTTTGGTCAGGCTATGCACAGCAACCTACATTCGGTTTGTCGATTAAAATTAACGTAATCGATGAAATTCTTAATGATCAATTATTGATTAATCGACTAATCATGCCCATATCTACTGTGTGATTTGTGACTCTAGAGACCTACAATTTGTTTGCCAGTTTAGCTCGACCATTGACCATTTGTATTTGCTTTGATTTATACTTAACCCTTTAGAGTTATCGTTTAGTTGTATTTGGAATTTTTGATTTATCTTATGTAAAACATCTCGTTTTTTTTATTATACTTACTTACGTTTACTTTATAAAAGCCACTTATATTACATCGCATCTGGTTTGTGTTACTTTCCTTTGTCCCTGGCACTGGTTTGTAACACCTTTGGATAAATATTTCACATTTTCTCATTCAAAATAATGCTGACATGGAGAATCTACTTCATAAACTTCACCTCTGTTTCGTGGCATTCAGGCTCCCTCTGCTGTCAGCAAAGGGAATTAACAAAATAAAGGAAAACACAAGGGCTGAAAACCACGGCAGACTTCTGCAGAATAAACGAGTGAAGCACTAAACTCTTAATCTGAGGTGAGAGAAATGTCAAATCTGATTGGACGGCCGTGCTCGTTTCTGGCTCGAGACGCAACGGAGGGAGTTTTGACCGGAGAGATAAAGAGATAAATATAGAGATAGTCAAGATTTTGAGTAAAAGCGAATGAGAAACTATCTGATCTGATCTTTAAGCCACGTGGAGCCTTGTTGATCTGACGTTGAATGAATTACGTGTCTGAAAGCAGTCGTGCAGAACCTTTTGTGTTTCGAGGAACTTTTCGAGAGTGTAATTAAGGTCCTATAAACTGACTCTTGTGAGCTAATGTTAAAACGTTGTTACTTCATTAAAAAAAAAAAAATACCTGGGGTTGTGTTTTGTTGCATTCGCATTCAAATCGTTTTATTTTTAATCTGTCTACTGTGTGTATTTGTCTCTTACTGTGCTCGGAAAGCCCTCTCAAACTCCGGATGCCCTGTAGTGGCCGGGGGATTGATCTTGTGAGCCAACCGCGAATATCCCACTCTTCTGGTGAAGTACGCTGAAAAAAAAAACAAGTTTCATCTTCAATATTCACAACAAAAAGACTTCAAATCGTGACATGTTTTTTTTGTCTAACCTGATTCAGCAGACGGTTTCACTTCGTGGAAACCGCCTGACCTCGCAGCTTCAGGATTCGTTCGCTCAACGGTAGATGGGTACTTTTTTAAGTTTAACGAATCGCTGCTATTTGGTCGTGATGTATGTAATGTAGCTTTTCTCAAATCCCATAAGAAGAAGGACAATAACGTCTTTCCCCTTGATAAAATTCACCAAACATTCTCTTTGCTTTAAATCCTCGATCGTCGCCAACACAGAATATGTGGCTCTTCGCTGATTGGCTGGTGCCTGGACTCACACTTGTGGCGTTCTTTGCAAACCGTCTAGTGCAGACATGTCAAACTCAGGCCAGGGGACCAAATTTGGCCCGGGATCTAATTATATTTGGCCCACGAGATCATATCAAACATGTATTAGAGCTGCCCACCGGCTACAGATAAACAATAGACACATTATTTATTTAAAATGTTGTTATTATTATTTTATATTATGCTTGTTCTGGATTCAGTGTTTAAGCAAAATTTTAATAAGAAAAGTTTTAACATTACATATCCCGAAAGAAGAGAAAACGTACAGATGTTGTTGAAATTTTTCACTCAATATTTGGTTCACAACTTCGTCCCAGTTTTAAATTTTGGCCTCTGTGAATTTGAGTTTGACGCTTCTGTTGTAGTGTATTCTGATTTCTGACCTAGTCGCTGGAGAGAAATGAAACTGAGTGGAGGCACTAGGGGGCGCCAGCCTGGCTAGAGCAGGGGTCTCCAACCTGTAGCTCTCCACCCCTTTCCAAGTAGCTCGCCAAAGGATTTCAAAATTATACCATTGTGCTGATGAATAACTTTTTTTTTTTTTTTTTTTTTTGTGCACGTAAAGCAGATATCACTGAGAAAAACAATTAGTAGTAATATAATGTGACAATTTTTTTTATTCCACAAACCCCCCTTCCCATTACACTCCACTACTGTAATATCAGTCTCATTGTAAAAAAAATAAATAATAATAATTAATTAAGAAAAAAATATAAATAATAATAATAATAATAATAATAATAATAATAATAATAATAATAATAATAATAAGTAACAAGTAAATAAAATAAATAATTAAATAAATAAAGGGAAAAGAGGGAAATATATATATATATATATATATATATTTTTTTTTTAAATAATAATAGTTTAGTTAATTGCATGCCTATTACTATTGTAAATGTATAATTCTGAAGTCTAACTTTCTGCACTAATAAACGGACAGTGGTTTATGTTTCATTGGCATCGAACTGTACCCAAAAGCTCGCCCTCTTTCTTATAATCGCCGCTAAAATGAGTAGCTCTCTGACATTTTTGTTTTGTAAAGGAGCTCACAGCAGGAAAAAGGTTGGAGGTCCCTGGGCTAGAGCTTTGTTGCAGTATATATATAAAAAAATATCTCATTCTGATTTTGACAATAATACTTGAAAATTCAGCCCTCGTGCACATTCCTCACATAAACAGGCACATTAACATTTGAAAGAAAACTGAAGTACGATCTGATAACCATCCAAGAATCCTACGCATTTCTTGGAAGTCTAAATTACGGGGTTAGCAGCTTTTACCCAGAATAAGACACAGATTTTCTCAGTGAGTAAATGACTGAACTGACCCATTTGCAGAGCAGTCAGCAGAGTGACGGCAGAGACCAGCACCGGAGCGTCCATGGTGGGAATGCGATTCAGACCGAAGCAGCCCAGCCCTGAACCTGTCCAGTCGTGTTGAGCTTTCACACACTGAGCTGGGAGTGGAGACGCACCACGCAGTCAATGTTTAACCAACTTTGTACCTGCAGAACTGGTTTCCGTGTCCTGGATTCAGACTGACACTGGGCCCGAAGTGCGGCGTATCGCTGGAGAAAAGACATACAATAAAATTAATAAAATAAAATTTGCAAAATCAACTCTCGACTTGTTAAAAATTAAGAGGTTCTATGTGTCATCCATGCATGTTTTTCTGTATTTTGGCTCAACAAATGACAATTTATGCCCCTCGTTACTGTTTCCTGGGATCAGATTAGTCAAAAAATTGTCATAGTCCAGGTTTAGTCCTGGTTTAGACCTGATGGAGTCCTGGTTTAATCTTAATTTAGTCCTGGTGTAGATCAGTTTGGTTAAAAATAGGGACACCCAGGACATTTCTTGTATAAAACTGGGACAAATCACTGGTTTTGGACAATTTGGATTTTTTTTTTTTTTTTAGTGCTTTGTTTAGTCCTGGTTTAGTAATTGGTTTAGTCCTGGTTTAGTCCCTGGTTTAATCTTTAGTTTAATCCTGGTTTAGCCCTTGGTTTAGCTCCATAATGCGTAAAAATAATAATAATAAAAATAAAATAAATAAAGGAAAACAATACAAGAAACTGAGGAAGTGGTTAAAAATAAAATTCTAATTCTTGTGTTTGAAGATAATTTTTGATGCTGAGTATAATTATTTTGAAAAGGGGTCTGGAACTGGAGAATTTGGATTTTATGGATGTGAAATTTTCCTAACAAAATAATGAAGCCTAAACCCTAATCCTCGCCCTCCGCTATTTAATTTTATTTATTTATTATTTTTTCTTTCATTTATTTTTTTTATTTTTTATTTTTTTAAGTATTTATTTTTTATTCTATTTTATTTTATTCTATTTTAAAAAATTTATTCCTCCGTTATTTTAATAGGTCCATGCCTCCGCCCTCCTCATGACGCTCCATCCGTGTCAGGAAGCCTCTGCCCGGCACCAGCGGCACCAGCACCGGCCCCGGCCCCGGCAGCATGGACAGCGACGAGGAGGCGCTGGAGGAGACCGTGGAAGGTACTCTGTCCTCGGTGTGCGTTGTCAGTGATCACCGCTGACGTGTTTACCGTCCGTACGCCCGGAGCTTTTACCCCGAGAGCGGCTCTGAGCTGCGCCTCGACAGGGCCCGTGGGAGCGAGGGGAAAGCCGCGGACTCGAGTTGACACGGATCCGCTCGAGAGGCGCACGGGGGCGGCCACAACTCCGCCCGAGCCCCGGAACCCGCCGGAGCCCCGGAGCTGCAGTGTCACGCTGTTTTCAGTCCGACTGGAAACAACGGAACCACACGTCCTTGGTTTAGTCCTAGTTTAGCTCTGGTTTAGATCTGGTTTAGTCCTGGTTTAGTCTTTAGTTTAGTCCTGGTTTAACTCTGGTTTAGCCCTTGGTTTAGTCCTGTTTTAGTCCTGTTTTAGTCCTGGTTTAGTCTTTAGTTTAGTCCTGGTTTAACTCTGGTTTAGTCCTTGGTTTAACTCTGGTTTAGTCCTGATTTAGTCCTGGTTTAGCTCTGGTTTAGTCCGTGGTTTTAGTCCTTGGTTTGGTCCTTGTTTAGTCCTTGTTTAGTCCTGGTTTAGTCCTGGTTTAGCTCTGGTTTAGTCCTTGGTTTAGCTCTGGTTTAGCTCTTGTTTAGCTCTGGTTTAGTCCTGGTTTGGTCCTTGGTTTAGTCCTTGGTTTAGTCCTTGTTTAGTCCTGGTTTAGCTCTGGTTTAGTCCTTGGTTTAGCTCTGATTTAGCTCTTGTTTAGCTCTGGTTTAGCTCTGGTTTAGTCCTGTTTTAGTCCTGGTTTAGTCCTGGTTTAGTCCTGGTTTAGCTCTGGTTTAGCTCTGGTTTAGGCTTTAGTTTAGCTCTGGTTTAGTTTTGGTTTGGTTCTTGGTTTAGCTCTAGTTTAGTCCTGGTTTAATCTTTAGTCTAGTGCTGGTTTAGTCCTTGGTTTAGTCTGCCGAGAGGAATTTAAGGATACATTTAGTCAATTATTAATGTTAGTGGACCACAGCAGAAATTATAAGGCATGAAATAAGGTAGTGAGTTGCAAATAACTTTTAAAAACATATAATAATGCAATTTATTACACTATATTTTTGTTTTGTCAGTGCACTTTGTGTCAAATATTTGGTCAATCCATAGAGATGTCTTTATTCGACCCAGAATCTCTTAGTTGGATATTGCCCCACCTTTTTTTTTTTTTTTTTTTTACTTAGGGCTGGTTTAAATGATAAAATGCAGCAAGTCCATTAGCCAGTTTGAGTATGGAGAGAGAGTTGTCTTGCCCCAGGACACAACAACAGAATACACAGGGTGGAGCTCTGGGATTCAGCTACCCTCTTCTGTTTATAAGACATCCATTCATCCTCTATATCAGGGGTGTCAAACTCATTTTGGTCCAGGGGCCGTATCCAGCCTACTTTGATCCTAAAGGGGCTGAATCAGAAAACTCCTGGCATATAAACCCCAAAAACAGCAATAAGATAAAATATTTGTGCAGAGAAACACAAATCTGTTACAGAAATCTTTTAATTGATGAACTCTTTCTTTTACAAAATATTATAATATTATGAAAAACAACACAATGTTTTAACATTAACTTGAATGCAAATAGGAATTTTTGACATTTTTCTGATGAGGGTGTCACATTCAACAGTCAAAACGATCATCCTTTAAGAGCGTTTGGAAAGAGACAAGTCTTCATTTGTGCTGCTCTGGTGGGAGGGGCCACGTACAGAGGCACGGGAGACACTGCTATGCTAAGCGGAACAGAAAATTACCAATATTTTAATAGAAAATATGATTAAAATATTTTAGTAGAAAATCAGACGAGGGCCAGATTAAAGGTCTTGGAGGGCCGGATCTGGCCCCCGGGCCGTATGTTTGACACCTGTGCTCTATATCTATCACTCATGCTGTAACAAAGTAAAGATAGTTTATTGACCATGTGTGGTGTATGATGTGTGCAGGTCCTGTAGACGAGGACGGTCTGCCCCACGGCTTCTGCACGGTCACCTACTCCTCCAGCGATCGCTTCGAAGGACACTTCACCCACGGAGAGAAGAACGGCAAGGGGAAGTTCTACTTCTTTGATGGAAGGTACGTGACAAAGGCATGGTCACTGCTCACTGCTCACGTACTTGGATCTAGAAGATTTTCTGGTGTTACCCAAGTGTCCTCCAGCAAATAAATCCCAGTCTCTGCTTTTGGACCACACTGTAAGCGTCTGTAACATCTTGGCTTTCCCCTGGTTCTAAGTTGACCCATATTCTCATGGCCAGTAAAAATCTGGTGCTGTAGGGCCTGGCACATGGTTGGTGCACCAGTCACAGAGCAGCACTGAGGTTTGTGAGGAAGCCAAAGGCAAAGTGTCTAAATGAGACAAAGCCTGCACACTTACTCCCAAACTGCATTTAATGAATAATAACATTTCGATCAGTGGATATTCATCAGGTCATGGTTCTCTCTCTGTGTGATTGTTTGGCCAGTCCAAAGTGAGCCATAGGAGATGTCCACACAACACAAGATGTAACACAACATACACTTTACATCATATCGCATAAGCCATTACTCAAGTCCATCTTATGTTATCATCGGACGAGTAAATGACATCTGAAATAAATAAAACATTGTAAGAAGTGTTTCATTTCATATTCTTTATTCAGGCCACTAAGGCCAGTGTTTTTAAGGAATAAATATATAAATGTTCTCTTTGTAGAAGCAGCCTGTAAATATCCCCTCCTCTTCTTGGGAGCTTCACCTGCTCTTTCCAGATATATTTGAAAGAAGAGATTGGGTGTAAGTATACAGTTTGGGAGTAAGTGTGCAGGCTTTGTCTCACTTTCTATGTTCACTGTCGTAGCCTTGCACCAGTGATGTGCATATACAGTACCTGTACCTTTTATGAAAGCGCCTAAACAAACCGAAACAAACATGGCGATGGCGACACGCATATTTCAGCCTATTTTAGTGAAAATACAGACTATTTTGTTTGAGAAAAATGTGCAGAATGTAAGCGCTTTGTGTATTTGTGGACAGGATAGACGTCTGTGCTTTTCTCTTTTCTCAACCTGTGCACTCTGTCATTCCAGATTGATTGATTTAAAGTGTAGAACTCAATCTGGTGAGGGTCAGGCCACAGTAGTATGAAAACTTGCTCTGGGGTGAACAGTCAGAGGATTCGGATTACTCACATTAGTATCTGCTTACATGGCGTTTGAATTGATTGAGTTGATTAATTGTATTTTGATTTTATAAGAGGAAGTGTAACTTTCACCCTCAGATTATTTACAGATCAGTTGCGAGAAGGAAAACATTTTTACCTCATTTACATTAAACTGAAAGTAAAAGAAGAAAGCACACATACAGCACATGAACAGTAATTTGATAATTCCTGAGATGAGACTGTGTGTGTGTGTGTACACCTGGTGTTGTGTTGTGAGCAGCACTCTGGAGGGACACTACGTGGAGGACGCGCTGCAGGGACAGGGCGTGTACACGTATGAGGACGGGGCTGTCCTCTGTGGGACGTATGTGGACGGAGAACTGAACGGTCCCGCTCAGGAGTACGACTGTGAGGGACGCCTCTCCTTCAGGGGACAGTACAGAGACAACAGCCGCTGTGGAGACTGCTCCATCTACTACCCTGTGAGCCCTGCACTTTCCATTCTCTTCACCTTAGACAGACTTTATTGATCCAAAATGGAAATTACTTGGACACAGTAGCTCACACATCACAGTTTATAACAAAGAGTAAAAAAATATATTAAAAATAGTAAACTTCTAAATAAATAAGTAGCAATAATGTAGTCCACCTCCCTTTAAAGTTAAAGTTCTGTTCTGTTTTTGTTTTGTTTCATGTTTTATCTGTCTATGTTTATTCTACTGAGTCAGTGGAGCTTTATTTTGCTTTTATTCACCTTGGTCTCCCTGTAACCATCGGTAGCTGTTAGGGATGTAAAAATAACTAAAATATCATGATATCATCAAAAGTCTCACAATAATACCGTGGGCCATCACAATACATCGAAATACAAGTCTCTTTGCTTAAATTAGTAGTTATGGTGATTCTGATGTCTTTCTTAGGCCCTGTTTGCACGCACATGAGTATTTTTTAAAAACGGAGACATTTCCCTTCATTTGTACTCAACTTTTACATGCAAACGGTGAATTTGCTTCTGAAAATGAATCTTTCTAAAAACTCCGTCTAGAGTGGAGATTCTGGAAAACTACGGTTTAGTGTTTGCATATAAAGTGAGATACTAGATGGAGAATTTATACAGGTCGATGAACATGAAAACTTTTTTTGAAAACGATATTATTTGCATCTGTCTTTGAATTACTCTGTGTACGATCTGTGCTATACAAATAAACTTGCTTTGCCTTGCCATGGTGCGTCAATAGCGAAAAAACAGAGGGAACTACATAGACCATGATCCTTTGGTGTTGTCAGCGCAGACTACCTGAAGAAATAACTGTTATTAAGCACTTTTCATTCTTAATTTTTCATATTATGTCAGTACCAAAAGCGTCTCAAAGCATTTCCAAGGCTTTAAAAATCATAAAGTAGCCTCCACAAAATCAAACATCGCAATAAATATCAAACTTTTCGGATATTTATTGCGGATTTTCGATATTGTTACATCCCTAGTTGCTTTGTGCTGGTTGCAGGACGGGGGCTGTCTGTTCGGGCGGGTGAATGCCGACGGGGAGATGAGCGGAGACACAGTGGCCTACATTTACCCGGATGGACACACGGCGCTGTACGGGACGTTTGTGGACGGAGAACTCATCCAAGCCCGACTCGCCACGCTGCTCGCCAACAGCAACGGGAGGCCACAGTTTCAAGTCGCTCCAGACAGTAAGATTAAGCTCATTTACCATATTTTCTGCACTATTAGGCGCTCGGGATTATAAATCGCACTGTCATTAAATGGTCTATTTTTGGACTTTTTTCACAAATAAACCGCACTGGGACTTTAAAGGAAACACAACAGTTGGATGGGTCAGTGGGACTTTGTTTGGCGCGTTCACGGTGACTCTGGGCTGTGTTCAGTTGTGGCGTGTAGGCAGTGTTGAGAAGGTGACTTTTAAAATGTATTCCCCTACAGATTACAGATTACATACCTCAAAATGTAGTTTGTAACGTAATCCATTAAATTACTTAAGGTGAGTAACGTAATCTGAATACTCTGGATTACTTGATTTGCTGTAGAGAAGCAAAGACGAGGAAATCTTCACATCAGATGTTTTGTCTGATAAAAGAAAATAAAAAAGCCCAGACTTTACTGAACCAAATTAAAAATATTATTGATAGAAGAGGAGGAGACAAGGTCCGTGCAGCATGATTTAGTCCTGGATTAGTCCTGGTTTAGATCTAGTTTAGACCTGGTTTTAGACCTGGTTTTAGTCCTGGTTTAGACCTGGTTTAGATCTGGTTTTACTCCTGGTTTAGTCCTGGTTTAGTCCTTGTTTAGATCTAGTTTAGATCACCTGGTTTAGACCTGGTTTAGTCCTGGTTTAGATCTATTTTAGATCTAGTTTAGTCCTGGTTTAGATCTGGTTTAGACCTGGTTTTAGTCCTGGTTTAGATCTAGTTTTGATCTGGTTTAGATCTAGTTTAGACCTGGTTTTAGACCTGGTTTAGGCCTGGGGATACAGCCCGAAATGTGAAAACAGGAAAATACCTCTGTGTAATCCATTTATTTCAACAAAGTAACTGTAATCCAATTACCACTCACTGAAACAGTAACTGTAACTGAATACAGTTACTCATAAATTGTACTCTGATTACGTAACTCCAGTACATGTAATCTGTTACTTCCTAACACTGCGTGTAGGGAGGGTGCTGTCTGGGACCGCTGGATTGTCGGCGTGTTCGCAGTGACTCAGTTGTTCAGTTGTGTCTAGAAGTGGCACATTGCACTCGCTTTTTCAGTTCGTTCCTCTGTTCCGTTCCTCGTCGGCGTGGAGTGATGAGTGTGTCTGTGGGTGTTTTTCGCTGCGCGGTCGCTGTCTGCTCCGCGTGTGTTTGTGGCTTTGTAGTTCACTGAAGTCGTGCTGGGACACCTGAGTGGATTCGTGTATAGGGCGCTCTGGATTGCGTTTTTTGATGGGGTTGGAGGCTTTTGAGTGTGCCCTATAGTGTGGAAAATAAGGTATCTTTAAATGTTTAAAGTCGTCACCCTTTGCTTTGTTGGCAACTAGGGATGGGCATGATTAATCGATTAATCGATAATTGATCATTAAGAATTTCATCGATTAAGTTCATTTTAATCGACAAACCGAATGTAGGTTGCTGTGCGTATCGTGACCAAACAGGTGTGTACATGTGTCTCTGCATCAGAAGGAGCGAGACACAAACATTTGGTCTGCCTGCAATGTACCGAAGCACAAATGCGTATTTAACGATGATTTGTACAGAAATTCCACACTTTCCGTTGTGTTCGGGACAAGTGTGAGTCCATGTGCACAGTGTATAAAGCAGGAACATGTTTCTGTGTCCAGTGGGAAAAAGCTTTGCCAGGTGAGAGTCGCGCAATGTCGATGACGAGTCCCCACCTCCCTCCCCCCGTACGGTGTCCTGGTTTTGACAAATGCAAATCTGGTCACACTAACCTGTATTCCACTGAGTCATGTCTTTTAATCCGACAGAGTTGACCGCATCAGCGACACAAGAGCTGTAGTTTTATCTTCACTTACTTTATGCAAATTAGCGATGTGGTTTTAAGTTTTGTTTCTGTGAGAGTTGAACAAAACTGAATTAAACACATTATAATGTCAAACGGGCTGATGTGGCTCTAGAGTCGTTACGGTTTATATGTCGTAAAGTTGAATTTATTTATGCAGATTAGTAGTGCAGATAGTAATAATAATAATAATGATAATAATGATTAATCGATAATCGATCGTTAATTCTTCCGACGATCGATTAAGAAAATTTCATTGAATGCCCATCCCTAATTAGAACCCAGTTAAATTGAAACACTGATAGCTGTGCAGTATTATAGAAAGATGGACACACACTATAAGCTCTGTTCACGCTCACAGGAAGACGTTTGGAAACATGTGGATGGCGACTTTGGGTGTAGTTACCGACACTGGGCATGTGATAAAAACGTGGGTTCAGCAGCAGCAAAGCTTTCCATGGGGGACATGACTCTAATTGCGTCTTCGATGTTACGTACAGGCAGTGTTGAGAAGGTGACTTTTAAAATGTAATCCCCTACAGATTACAGATTACATACACCAAAATGTAGTTTGTAACGTAATCCATTAAATTACTTAAAGTGAGTAACGTAATCTGAATACTTTGGATTACTTGGTTTGTTGTAGAGAAGCAAAGACGAGGAAATCTTCACATAAGATGTTTTGTCTGATAAAAGAAAATAAAAAGTCCAGACTTTACTGAACCAAATTAAAAATATTATTGATAGAAGAAGAGGAGACACGTCCACGCAGCATGATTTAGACCTGGTTTAGTCCTGGTTTAGACCTGGTTTAGATCTAGTTTAGACCTGGTTTTAGTCCTGGTTTAGACCTAGTTTAGACCTGGTTTAGACCTGGTTTAGATCTGGTTTAGATCTGGTTTTAGTCCTGGTTTAGATCTGGTTTTAGTCCTGGTTTAGATCTGGTTTAGTCCTGGTTTTAGTCCTGGTTTAGTCCTGGTTTAGTCCTGGTTTAGACCTGGTTTAGATCTGGTTTTAGATCTGGTTTAGATCTGGTTTTAGATCTGGTTTAGATCTGGTTTTAGATCTGGTTTAGATCTGGTTTTAGTCCTGGTTTAGATCTGGTTTTAGTCCTGGTTTAGATCTGGTTTAGTCCTGGTTTTAGTCCTGGTTTAGACCTGGTTTAGATCTGGTTTTAGTCCTGGTTTTAGTCCTGGTTTAGACCTGGTTTAGACCTGGTTTAGACCTGGTTTAGTCCTGGTTTTAGTCCTGGTTTAGTCCTGGTTTAGTCTTGTTTTAGTCCTGGTTTAGACCTGGTTTAGATCTGGTTTTAGTCCTGGTTTAGATCTGGTTTTAGTCCTGGTTTAGTGGTTTAGTCCTGGTTTTAGTCCTGGTTTATCCTGGTTTAGTCCTGGTTTAGACCTGGTTTAGATCTGGTTTAGATCTGGTTTTAGATCTGGTTTAGATCTGGTTTTAGATCTGGTTTTAGATCTGGTTTTGATCTGGTTTTAGTCCTGGTTTAGATCTGGTTTTAGTCCTGGTTTAGATCTGGTTTTAGTCTGGTTTAGATCTGGTTTTAGTCCTGGTTTTAGTCCTGGTTTAGACCTGGTTTAGATCTGGTTTTAGTCCTGGTTTTAGTCCTGGTTTAGACCTGGTTTAGACCTGGTTTAGACCTGGTTTAGTCCTGGTTTAGTCCTGGTTTAGTCCTGGTTTAGACCTAGTTTAGATCTAGTTTAGATCTGGTTTTAGTCCTGGTTTAGACCTGGTTTAGACCTGGGTTCAGTCCTGGTTCAATCCTGAATTAGTCCTGGTTTAGACTTAGTTAAAAAAAGAAGAAAAAAAGAAGGGATTTAGCCCAAAATGTGAAAACAGGAAAATCCCTCTGTGTAATCCATTTATTTCAACAAAGTAACTGTAATCCAATTACCACTCACTGAAACAGTAACTGTAACTGAATACAGTTACTCATAATTTGTACTCGTAACTCTGGTACATGTAATCTGTTACTCCCCAACACTGCGTACAGGCAGTTGTAACTGTTGATCTGCCGAACGTAACGGAACTCTGACTTTTTTTTTTTTTTTTTTTAATTATACAAATGCGCGGATGAACAGGTAGTTTTTAAAAGGGAAAAAAAAAGTGGCATCTAGATGAAGAAAACCGGGCCATTTTCTCAGTTACTTTCGCCAACAGAGCCCAAAGGAAGTCGCCATCCTCATGTCTCCAAACGTCTTCCGGTGTTGTGACGTAAGCGTGGATAGAGCCTGTTCGTGGGCGTGGTCTGCTTCAATTTTCCAATCAAATCAATCAAAGTTAGTATATTTTTAAAGGAATTACAATCACCGTAAACTGACCCTGTGTTTCTAGTGCCTTATCGTGCAGACAGAGAACGAAAACAAAATTATAAAAAATACAGCAACAAGAACTTATTCATCAGGTTTTGTCAGCTATGCAGGGTTGTTTTAACGATGTAGAGAGTTGTAAAAAAACATCTATATTTATTGACTTTATTGACACTTCTTCAGGTGCCGTGTACACTTACGACAAGTCGACGTCCAGCTGCATCGCAACCCACGCTCTCCTCCCTGACCCCTACGAGAGCCAGAGGTACTGCTGCCTGTGTGCTGCATCACATCTCCTACAGTCTTATTATTATTATTATTATATTCCTATTTTCTTCATTAACATTATATTATTGTTATCCAAGTCCCGTGCTCCGCAAATTTTTTTTTTCCAAAACATCTTCCAAACATCTTCCAGTAACTTTGAATAGAGCCTGTTATCCGGATTCTGTTTTAGAACTCAGAGGCTACAGCTACTTCCTGCATTTTTGTACTTTTTTTCTCACAAACTCCCACTTTAACTGATGTAAAATTATAATAAACATTGACCACAGGTACTATCCCTCCAAACTAAGTCAGAATGAGAAAAACGTGAAAAACTGTCCAATGTGCTTGAACATAAATAGTTTTCCTTGAGTACCGCCGCTTCTCTGTTGTTCTAGAGGAGGGGTTTTCAAACTGGGTGAATGTGAGCCTCCCCTTAGAGTAGGTAAAGACGGCCGAGCACCCCCCTACATAAAATCCCCTCCGCCTGCCCTGCCCCACACAGTCCTTTGCCAGAAACACAAAAGATGCATTTACTTTTGTGTTTCTGGCAAAGTTTCAAGTTTCAATAATAACTGATAATATTTTTTTTTAATGTTGTATTATTTTTTAAAATGCTTTCATAAATGATTTTTGCAACAGCAAATAATTTCCAACTTCATGCAGGCCTAATTGAAGGGACTATTAACATCCCTGAACATCAGTAGGTCACCAGGACTAAACCAGATCTAAACCAGGTCTAAACCAGGTCTAAACCAGGTCTAAACAAGAGCTAAACCAGGTCTAAACCAGGACTAAACCAGGTCTAAACCAGGTCTAAACCAGGTCTAAACCAGGACTAAACAAGAGCTAAACCAGGTCTAAACCAGGTCTAAACCAGGACTAAACAAGAGCTAAACCAGGACTAAACCAGATCTAAACCAGGTCTAAACCAGGTCTAAACCAGGACTAAACAAGAGCTAAACCAGGTCTAAACCAGGACTAAACCAGGTCTAAACCAGGTCTAAACCAGGTCTAAACCAGGTCTAAACCAGGTCTAAACCAGGACTAAACCAGAACTAAACCAGAACTAAACCAGAACTAAACCAGAACTAAACCAGGTCTAAACCAGCATTAAACCAGGACTAAGCAGGTCTAAACCAGGACTCATCTTGGAGAGAGAGGGACAACCCCGCGCTAGAGGTCTGCGCGGGACAGAATTTTCACTTCTGTTCCCGCTCGCACCTGCAGTGAGCTTTCAAAATGTGTCCCACGCCACACAGTTTTGCGTCGGGACCCGTGGGAGAGCAGTGCTCCACCCCGAGACCGCGGAGCAGGGTGTCCACAAAGCGCGATCAGGCGACGGCTACGCTTAAGCTCCGTGAAGCGCGGAACTCTGCGCCGGTCCTTTCGGCTGCTGTCACCCGACGGTCTACACGGGCGCACCTGGTTCAGTTCTGGTTTAGTCCTGGTTCAGTCCTAGTTTCGTTCTTCTGGTTCAGTCCTGGGATCAGTCCTTGCTTACCCCAGTGGCTCTTCGCCTCAACTATTGAAAACCTCTGTTCTAGAGTGTACGTGGCCGACTCGCTGATTGAAGGAGCGGGTCAGGGTCTGTTTGCTAAAACTGACGCCGACGCCAACACCGTCATGGCCTTTTACAACGGAGTTCGCATCACACACTCAGAGGTATGGGCACACTATTATCTCTACTCTCCTGCATGCAAGGTTTGTGTGGTTTGTGTGTTATGAATGAAACAAAACACAACTTCTGGTCAAATTCTGGATGCACCAGGTCATCTCAGGTGAGTCAGACAGATATGGACGAGACCTGGAGAACCAGTCGATGGTGGGACAACTTTGTGGAAGGAGTAGCTGATGAAAATGTGTGGCGTGAAAACTTTCGTATGACCAAAGATGCTCTTGTTGCTTTAAGTGAATGCTGCCTGGCATGCATACCCAATTGAATTCCACACACTTTTGCGTCACCGTATGCACCCAGATTTCCTCCTGAAATCAGAATAAAAAGTGAAGACACAACGCCACTTTTGCGTCTTCTGTTCAGACCGTCATCATATAAACGTAGACTGAAACTGAAGAGCTGTGTGTTGCAGGTGGACAGCCGTGACTGGGCTCTGAACGGAAACACCATCTCTCTGGACGAGGACACGGTGATTGACGTCCCTCAGCCGTGGGACCAGACCCACACGTACTGCGCCTCTCTGGGACACAAGGCCAACCACTCCTTCAGCCCCAACTGCAAATACGACCCGTACGTACCACCTCCATAAACATGTTCAGTGCTCCAGAACCAAAACTGGGGTCTGCCATCACACAAGATTACTTCAGAATTGGAGACAGACTGATTTATTGGCTGGTTCAATTGCACAACCTTGGAACTGCTTAAATAGTACCGTATTTTTCAGAATATAAGTCGCACCAGCCAAAAAATGCGTAATGAAGAAGAAAAAAACATATGTAAGTCGCACTTTTTGGGGGAAATTTATTTTATAAAATCAGAGCCCAGGAACCGACATTTCCTGTTGAAAGGCAAGTTCTAGTAAAAACAATAGAACAGAGAACAACAGACTGTTAACGTCACATATGAACAGTTCTTCAGATAAACTATAACATAAACAACAGAACAGAACAATTTTACCAAACTCTCCATCTCACTCCAAATCACTAAATCCATTCAGTTCTTCATCCTCTGCAACTCAATCCAGCAACTCGGCCTCGACCTCCGGAGGTAAACAGAGCGCCGCTTCCTCTTCTGTGTAGCTGTCGTCAGACTCCGCATCAGTTCCAGTTAGAATTATTCCGGCCTTTCTGAATCCCGACAGGATGGTTTCGGTGTCACTGAAGTCCAGGCTTTGTCGATCCATCCAGTGACTTCAGAAAAGTTGCATGGTGCATCCTCCCGGTGTTCTCCATCCCCGCTTTCCACCAGTCCCTCACACGTTTCTCACTCACTCCAAACTTTCTTTCTGCTGCTCGATTACGGTTTTCGTCTGCAGATTTCGCTACTTGCAGCAGGACACATGCAGGAGACAGGCGCAGTAGAGTGAAGTGACAGTGGTACAGGAGGAACAGGAGCAGCAGATACTGACACAAGACTAGAGCCTCTCCCCACTTCAGTGTGAACATTTTAATATGTAAGTCGCACCGGAGTGTAAGGCGCAGGAAACACCCAAACTATGAAAAAAAAGTGCGACTTATAGTCTGAAAAATACGGTACTTAAAATCACAGTGGCAGCACATTCACAAATACACTAAAATGACCAAAATAACGACTTGGAATAGTAGACAATGCTTTTAAAACACCATATACACAGTTTAGTTGCAAAAAAGTTAATTTGGCGTTTAGTTCCACTTTGAATAAAGTCTCAAAACAGAAACGGTGTGTGTTTTTGTGTGCGCAGGTACGTTCACCCTCGCTTTGGGTCCATCAAGTGCATCCGAACCCTGAGGCCAGTGCACAAAGACGAGGAGCTGACGGTCGCCTACGGTTACGACCACGAGCCGTCGGGAAAGAACGGTCCAGAAGCTCCTGACTGGTACAAGCAGGCGCTACGGCACTTTGAACAGACGAGCAGCCAATGAGAGCACAGGACACAGGCATGGACAGTCCCGCCAGCCAATGAGAGCGATAACAAATTTTGAAGTACGATATTCTGCTGAAGTAAACATAAACGATAAACGATAATATTGAAACTTAACTATAAAGCAGAATTTTATTTTAAAAAGTATTGTAAATCTGTCAGAATAAATAACAGGATGCTGCACTTCAGTAGTTGCGTCTATGATGGGTCATAGACGTTCATAATTCAACCTTTTACAGCTCAAAATAACCAAACTTTTCCCAGTAGTGCAAAGAAAAAGTACCTGTTGAATGATAAGTCAGTATAGTAATTATCACAACAAGCCTAGTTCCAGTGGCCAATGAAAGCACAAGACGCAAAGGTGAAAAGTGCAATATCCAATGAGGGCGTAAGACAGGAACGTGGACAGTCCATCGGGCAATGTGGAACTGCAAGACGCCAATGCAGACAGTTTTAGAGACAATCGAGACAATGCAACAGCCAATAACGGCAAAGGATACTGCTACGGAAAGTTAAATATTCAACTATCTGTGCTACAAGTCTGACCCTGTGTTCCATTATCTTCCGATTTCTACTTGGACCTCGGATTTGACGTCACGGCCGAGTTTGAAGCGTATTATTATGTTTCGTGTGTCGGACTACGTGGATTATGATTATGATTATTCCCTCATCTTATGAAAACGCTGCCACTTAATTTTAATTTTTGAAATTTGCACTTCATTTTATGTTACGATTTCTCTTCCGTTACAACTTTAGGGATGTTAATGCCCGTTAAATCAAGTATTTGTTTAATATTAGACTTACCACAACACCGACTACCAAACCCAGAGGCAGTGATACGGACGTGATAAAGTACTGCAGTGATACGAGTGACTCCAAGTGTCATTTAAACCACCAAAGTGTCCAAACGCAATGAAAATACTTCATATTTACACGTCACAACGGGCGTAGCCATTTTCAATTCTGACTCGGAATCCTTGCTCGTTTCTACTTTTCCCTCAACCGAGGTCCGAGTCGCGCCGTCCCAGGAAAAGGGGCGTGTCACGTGTGTCGCTAGGCAACTACCTCGGAAAACCGATTCGGATTATAATCGAACACAGGGTGAGGTACTTGAAGGTTTATTATGCAAATGCTAGGAGATTAAGTTTGAAAAAAGCCATGGAAAACTATGCAAGCGTTTACCAGTAGTATTTATTTACCATAAGTATTGTCCGATCATGCCGTTGGGCCGATACACACGTGTAACTCATTTATTTATAATGTCTAAAATGAATTATGATGTTTGAATTGTGGATTACAAGATTGCCTGAGATGCCTCTGAATATACATTTTCTAACCTGTGTGGAAAATAAAATCCATTGTTTCACACTGTGTCACTGTGTGTGTTGTGTCGTGTAAATCGGCATTTCCCAAACTTTTTTTCTGGGGACACATATTTTAAAAGTCTTTGTGACCCAAATCAATAGACATAAAGGTAGATTAGACTATTATTTAATGTTAATGAGGATATTTTATTTTATTGCTGACCGAGTGATCGTGTCTCTCTGAACATGAATTTGTATTACTCAAGTTTTAAACCGTAAATAAAACCAGCAATAAAAGGTTTCCAGTCGCCTATTTGGACATTAATTGTAGCCCTTTTTTCAACATTCAACTGAACCACCAATACTGGAACAGAATAGTCAATAAAATAATTATAAAAAACATAGATGGGCCTGTCTGTGTTTTTGTTCCAGTCCAAGTCGTCTGCTTTGAGCTTCAAGTCATTTCAAGTCTTTAGACCAAAGAACCAAATATAGATTAGATTTCTGCAATTTATATTAATTTTAAGCTAAATAGTACTTAAAAAGACATGGTATATTTATAGTCAGTGTTGGGAAGGTGACTTTTAAATGTATTCCCCTACAGATTACAGAGTACACATGCCAAGATGTAGTTTGTAACGGAATCCATGAAGTTATTTAAAGTGAGTAATGTAATCTGAATACTTTGGATTACTTGGTTTGCTGTAGAGAAGCAAAGACGAGGATGGTTTAGTCCTGGTTTAGATCTAGTTTAGATCTAGTTTAGATCTGGTTTAGACCTGGTTTTAGTCCTGGTTTAGACCTGGTTTAGATCTAGTTTAGACCTGATTTCAGTCCTAGTTTAGTCCTGGTTTTAGACCTGTTTTAGATCTGGTTTAGACCTGGTTTAGATCTAGTTTAGGCCTGATTTTAGTCCTGGTTTAGACCTGATTTAGTCCAGGTTTAGTCCTGGTTTAGACCTGGTTTAGATCTAGTTTAGACCTGATTTTAGTCCTGGTTTAAACCTGGTTTAGTCCAGGTTTAGTCCTGGTTTAGACCTGGTTTAGATCTAGTTTAGATCTAGTTTAGACCTGGTTTTAGTCCTGCTTTACATCTAGTTTAGACCTGATTTTAGTCCTGGTTTAGTCCTGGTTTAGACCTGGTTTATACCTAGTTTTAGTCCTGCTTTAGTCCTGGTTTAGATCTAGTTTAGTTTCCCGCAATGAGAGGAATTATCGGAAAAAAAAAAGAAGAGGGATACAGCCCAAAATGTGAAAATACCGCCATGTAATCCATTTATTTCAACAAAGTAACTGTAATCCAATTACCACTCACTGAAACAGTAACTGTAACTGAATACAGTTACAATAATTTGTACTCTGATTACATAACTCCTGTACATGTAATCTGTTACTCCCCAACACTGTTTATAGTGTTTATAAGAGTTGCAAGAGAAACGCAAATGTTTCCTTTTTCATTACGGTCAGAACAGAAAGTTATTTTGCAGTTATTTTGTCGTGTCGTTTGCACTGAAATAGAAGGATCATGTTCTTTGTAGTTCCCTCTGTTTAACTGTATTGTACTGTATATTACTGTAAGATATTTGAGGAAAGTAACAAATAGAGAAGTGGGAGGGACATGTTCCAGTTTGTTCCTGTAGAATTAAGCACCGCAACTGTAAAGAGAAAAAAAAACATTTATTTTTTTCAGAGAAGCATCACGTCTTCTCAAGTCACAGGCCTAAAGTCTCAAGATCTAAAAAATACTGTCTCAAGCAGTGTTGGGGAGTAACAGATTACATGTACCAGAGTTATGTAATCAGAGTACAAATTATGAGTAACTGTATTCAGTTACAGTTACTGTTTCAGTGAGTGGGAATTGGATTATAGTTACTTTGTGGAAATAAATGGATTACACAGAGGGATTTTCTTGTTTTCACATTATGGGCTAAACCAGGACTAAACCAGGACTAAACTAGGACTAAACCAGGTCTAAACCAGGACTAAACTAGGTCTAAACCAGGACTAAACCAGGTCTAAACCATGACTAAACCAGGTCTAAACCAGGACTAAAACCAGAACTAAAACGAGGTCTAAACCAGGACTAAACTAGGTCTAAACCAGGACTAAACCAGGTCTAAACCAGCTCTAAACCAGGACTAAACTAGGTCTAAACCAGGGCCAATTTGAAGAGAACAAACATGAATTTTCAGGATGTCGTTGCTACATTCTTGTAGTTTTAAAAAACATGACAATATCAAGTAATCCAAAGTATTCAGATTACATTACTCACTTTAAGTAATTTAATGGATTACGTTACAAACTACATTTTGGGGTATGTAATCTGTAATCTGTAGGGGAATACATTTTAAAAGTCACCTTCTCAACCTGTCAGGTCATTTTGTGGGGGAAAAAAAAAATAAGCACACCCACAGGCTCACGCTGCCGCTGCCTGCCAGGCCAAACCCAGGGCGTAAGAATTCGATCGTTAGTTTCACCTGCGCCGCTCGAGCTCAGGTTAATGATGAACCATCGTGAAACCGCTCCGTGGACCTTACAGCATGAAACTAATGAATAAACACGCTTTTTAACACGTTTATCTTTTTTTTTTTTAAGCTTCCAGTTTTTAACAAATGTGACAAACTAAACCCGCGGAGCTGAGGCATCGCTAATGTGAAGTTTCGGCTGTTGTTTTCCCAACTCGTCGGACTGGACAAAGGGTCGCTCGGTTTGTCTCGGCTTGTATCGGCTTGTATCGGCTTGTGGGAGTAATCGTGTGGAAATGGACCGATACCGATATTTGATGCTTGCCCAGGGGCGAATGCTGGTGCTGGGCGTGCTGCAGATCGCGTGCGCGGGGCTGTGCGTGATCTGCGGGGTCATGGACGCGGTCTTCAGGAAGGACACCCCGCTGAGCACCACCAGGACTCCGATCTGGGGAGGAATGGTAAGAATGAACCTTTCTGAAATGATTTTAGCCTAATGTTTAGACCTGGTTTAGACCTGGTTTAGACCTGGTTTAGACCTGGTTCAGACCTGGTTCAGACCTGGTTCAGACCTAGATTAGACCTGGTTTAGACCTGGTTTAGTTTTAGACCTGGTTTAGACCTGGTTTAGTTCTGGTTTAGACCTGGTTTAGTTTCTGGTTTAGTTTCTGGTTTAGTTCTGGTTTAGTTCTGGTTTAGTTCTGGTTTAGACCTGGTTTAGACCTGGTTTAGACCTGGTTCAGACCTAGTTCAGACCTAGTTTAGACATGGTTTAGACCTGGTTTAGACCTGGTTCAGACCTGGTTCAGACCTAGTTCAGACCTGGTTTAGACCTGGTTTAGACCTGGTTTAGACCTGGTTTAGACCTGGTTCAGACCTGGTTCAGACCTGCTTTAGACCTTGTTTAGACTTGAAGTAGACCTGGTTCAGACCTGGTTCAGACCTGGTTTAGACCTGGTTTAGACCTGGTTTAGACCTGGTTTAGACCTGGTTTTAGACCTGGTTTAGAACTAGTTTAGACCTGGTTTAGACCTGGTTCAGACCTAGTTTAGACCTGGTTTAGACCTGGTTTAGACCTGGTTTAGACCTGGTTTAGACCTGGTTCAGACCTGGTTTAGACCTGGTTTAGACCTGGTTTAGACCTGGTTTAGACCTGGTTCAGACCTGGTTCAGACCTGGTTCAGACCTGGTTCAGACCTGGTTTAGACCTGGTTTAGACCTGGTTTAGACCTAGTTTAGACTTGAAGTAGACCTGGTTCAGACCTGGTTCAGACCTGGTTTAGACCTGGTTTAGACCTGGTTTAGACCTAGTTTAGACTTGAAGTAGACCTGGTGTAGACCTGGTGTAGACCTGGTGTAGACCTGGTGTAGACCTGAAATAGACATAGTTTAGACCTAGTTTAGTTCAAGTTTACTTGGCGGTATAAAGATGTAAAACAGATTCTTTGTTGTGAATGAAGAGATTAAGTCCGTAAGTAATTGGACATGTCATGCAAAATTGACTTTTCAAAGCTTTAATCGTGTTTTGTCTGTTTGCCCTCACCATTTACTCACCATAAGCTGTATTTAGAGTAATTTATTATTATTATTATTTAAGACACTGTTTTGCTGATGAACTCACGTTTTTCACCGCCACCTGTACACGCCCACTTTTTTTCACCTTTGCTTTGCTCATCTGGTGGGAAAATCTAATGTGAAATGTTTTTTTTTTGTTTTATTTTTTTTTTTTTTTTTTTGATCATTCTAGATGAATATTGTGGTTTAAAATCTGAATTAAAACATAATGATCTGAAATTACTATATAGCACAATAGGCCTTCTTTAAAATTATTAACCATACCATAGATCATTCAGTGCAAAAAAAGAAAAAAAGTTTTTGTTTTTTTTGTTTGTTTTGTGTTTATTTTGTTTTATTTTTATGTAAAAACACCAAAAATAACTTTCTGTAAACAGGTCCAAAAATATTCCTTGACGAAAACTGCATTTCCCATGAATAGAGCAACCTGCCTCCCAGTCTAATGAAACTGATGCTTGCTGTATTACCATGTTGTCAGTAACTTTCTAGTCCAGATATGTCAAACTCTGGCCCGGGGGCCAAATTTGGCCTGTGATACAATTATATTTGGCTCACGAGATCATATCACACATAGCCCTACAGATAGACTATAGAGACATTATTTATTCAAAATGTTGCGATTATTTTATATTTTACTTGTTCTGGATTCAATGTTTAAGCAAAACTATTATTAAACATTTATTTTAATAAGAAAAGGTTTAACATTACATATCTTGAAAGAAGAGAAATGATGATTTGATTTGATTTTTATTTTGGATCCCCATTAGCTGATGTCCGTGACACCAGCTTCTCTTCCTGGGGTCCACATATAAAACATAACAACAAATAAGACACTTATAAACAAAACAGTTATACAAAGATTAAAATCAAGAAAAAATACTTTCTAATAGAATTCATTACAGCTTACTTGTTGCGAAGCACTAAAAAATAGTTCTTCACTTTTTTAAATCTTAATTTGTTATTGGCTGCTGTAATCTGAAGAGGAAGCGAGTTCCACTCAACCATGGCTCTGTACATCACTGTACATTGACATGCAGATGTTGTTGACATTTTTCAATAAATATTTAGTTTGGCCCACGACTTAGTCCCAGTTTTTAATTTTGGCTTTTGTGAATTTGTGTTTGACACCCCTGGTCTAGTCAGTCCTTTTTGATTTAGTAGAGGTAATAAGTGACATATTTACTAAAAATGTGTTTTATAAAATCATCCAAGAATCATTTTGCTGTGCCCAGTGACACTGGACCATGAGCGTTTTAAGTACGGCTGTAGCTAACTAAAGAAATTCTTGGCCAACAATAGGCGAGTTTCATTGTTAACAAAAGCGCGCGTTGCATGCTGGGAATTATTTTGGTCGGTGGCGAGAAAGCAGGTAAAGGGTATTGATCCCGGTTATTTATCCACTCTAATAAGCATCTCATAAGCATCGATGGACGCCAAATCACCCTTTTCAACCCCTACAGAGCGTAGACCAAACCAAACTTCTGGTCGGAATCGCCAACTACCTGGACAAATATTCACTTCGGCGATATCCACAATGACTTGGTGGAAACTCCTGGGCCATTCACAGCAGAAAAGATGAAAACCTCCAAGAGTCTCGATGTGTTGTGTTGTGAACTTGTTGGAGTCCACGGTTTGTTAGCATCTTCTACGTTTGCTCTGCGGATGTTTGAAAGCCGTTTAATTCACCGTTAGCGGTTCTTTTCACTCAGGATATGAAAAAGACATTTTCCTTCTTCCGTGCTTCTAATTGTGCATCCGATAATGCAGCAGGAATTTACCATTATTGGGGATAAATACACGAGGTTACGTACTGTGTTTGACCGCTATCGTGTTTCTTGCCTCCGACAAAAATATTTCCCAGCATGCAACGCGGGCTTTTAATAACAATGACGTCAGCTGAAACTGTTGCAAGATTTTTCGGTCTTAAACGATTTAAACATGCAACAAAAAGCCTTCACCACACACACAAGGAGAATCTGATAAGATTTAAAATCTCCAGATCGCAGAAACTGCAGCGGGATCTGTCTGCGTAATAGGCTGATGTGTGAGCGCACCTCATGTCTGCTGTTTCCTTCTGTCTACTTTAAAACCACTCGCTTTCAGACTCTTCAGAGCACTGCACTTCTACTTAAGATACAAAAAAACTGTGTCGTTATTATTTGGAAACGCATTGCAATACTTCAGATACATGATTATTAATGCGCAGAAGGTTGGGGATACAGTCCACAGGAAGTAGAGTCTTGATGTTAAACTGCAGCTTCACCTCGATCCGTGCTCTGTGTGGATGTAAACAGACACACCTGAGGAACTACTCTCACCTTTCTCTCACCTTTTTACTTTTAAAGAACGACTCAAATGGATCAATAGAGCGTTTTTGTCACTGGGGTCATTAACTACTGAGGACAAATTATGTGGATAATGTGGATGAGATGCTGCAGTTTAAATTTACATCTTTATTTTTGCTATTTATCGAGTTTGTATATCGTCTCTGTGTCCATCACTCCGTCTGACTGTTTGATTGGCTGATGTTTGGTGGTTATGATTCTGACAGAGCAGCTCGGAGTCACACTGACACCACACACGAGGAGCGCAGTGGCTTCTAAAATCTCACACGAAGACGCAAAGCCGCCGAACTCGAGGAGAAGCAAATCGCAGCCAAAACCGGGCAAATTCTCCTGTAGTGTGTGGCAGCTTTGATACACATTTTTCATCGTCACCATCGACCGATTATTCGACCATCGACTAAACAATTTGATTATTGAAAATGATTGGATTCCTAATAAAAATACAGGCATAATGAAGCTACCGTGGTTTTCTTGGCGAGAAAGAACTTCACGCTTCGTACTGATGATTATATGTGTCAGTATTTATTCTTCAACAATCTTCAATTCCATTAACACACACCGAAACACCCTGAAAACTAAAAGACAGACAGAAAATATCTTAACTTTCCATAAACACCTTTAAATAAATACACAATTGAAACTATATTTACCGTGTTCGCCTTTACGTTACCGGCGGTAGTTAAACAGCCTGTTTTTATTTTGATGTCTTTTTTTCTTTACATCTTTCTCTGTTTTCTCTCTTTTTTCGTGCTACTATTTTCTCTTTTTTTTCTACTTCCGGGGGCAAGGCAAAAGGTCACACAAATCAAAGGGCAAATAAAACACAAAACAATAACTGCAATATTCTGACACATCTCAATACTTTAACAAATAAAATAATAACCTTCTCACTTATTATCATAAAAAAATATATATATACTGACATTATCGTCAGTTACACATAATATACAACAGCAAAATATGCAGATCAAACAGAAATTGTGCCAGAAATCGTCCAATCTATGAGTATTCTTTCATATTCTGTGTACTTTTCAGATCATGGCTGTTCCAGGTGTGCTGGCTCTATTTGCATCCCAGAGGAAAAACCACATCCTGGTGAGTCAGTCGTAATAACTGGTGCTAAAGGTGCTTTGCTTATCTCACGAGGAAATAACACTAGTCTATTTATTGTGTTCCCAAAAGAGGCTGAACTTCAGTATCTATCAAGGTGAAATGAGTTTTTTTTTTTACTTTACCACATCAAATATACCGTAGTTGTAGTCCAGTCCAAATGCATAGATAAATTAAATACACTTAATCCAAAACAACAGTGTGCGTTCGCGTTCAAGAATTTGATGTGACCTTTTCGGACATAGGGCGGGGGCCTCTGTAACTCTTCAGAGATTCACTGTTTTTGAACGACATGTCCAAACTTTCTAAAGCTATTGTGAAAAAGTGATTTCACCCGGGTTCATTTATGCTGACGGAAAAGACGTTGAACTTTGTGACAGTTTTTTGCTTCATGTGGATAGGTCCAATAATCAACGAGATATGAACCATAAACCAGGTCGACAAATCAGCAGATTCCAGCTTTAACCCTCGTGGGCCCCTTTAAAAGAATCACACCTGTGGTCCCTCGTGACAAAAGTGTACACTGGAACAGAATAAAACAATAACAATATTTTTATGCAGTACGGATTTTTGTCCAACTTTTTTTTATATCATTGTCTTCATTTACTTCTGTCCTAATCATACACACCAAATATTATATAATATTTTTACATTTTAACCCCTTAAATGCCATTTTTGACAGCAAAAGTCTCAAATTATGTGCATGAAAAAAAATTTAAGTAATTTTAAATTTGTTTGTGTTGAGATTATCAGAGACTGGGGGCTCACGTAGAACACACCCAGATCATTTTAACCTCAAATAATATCTACGTCTCTGGACTTCAGTGTGGACTAATATGTACAAATGTCTTTGCATTTGTATAACCTTGTAATGGAAGATACACAGTAAAAAGAAAAATATTCAAAAAGACACAAACACATGAAAAAAGAGGTTTTCAACACCAAAAGAATGAAAAATAAATCACAAAATATAAACAGGCAAAGGTTAAAAAAAAAGAATAAATAAATAAACTTTGAATGGAAGTCAACGGGACAAAAATGTACCTAAGGACCATGAGTATTTAGATTATAGACTGTTCAATTAATGTGATCTTGAAAGAAAACATAGAAAGACAAACTGATCAATTTTGGTGCTATTTGGTGCAATATAGCCAAAGTTATGCAAAAAAACAAAAGTTGAAATATACAAAAATGTAAGTGTTAATTATCTGGTCTTGTCCTATTGTCCTTGTTCTCATATTTAGTTTTCTGGAGTTCTACTTTGACAGTTTAAGATCAAAATTTCCTCTTCCTCCATGGAGGTGTTTTCCCTGGAGTGTGTGGCATTAAACATATCTCCATGAAGATAAGCAGGTGATACCGCCAGAGCTGGGAGATAAAATGTGGGACTTTTCCTATTGGAAAGTGTGTGAACCTCCTAGAATTTTTTCAGTCAAATCTGTGATGGTCGAGCAGGGACATTTGGAGATTTGGCGTGGAATGACCCAGTTAGTTTTGTAAGATTTAGCCTTTGGTTCTTCCTCTAGATCTTATTATATTTTAATGGTATTCTTCCCAAAAACCATGATAACTGTGTGTGTGTGTGTTTGTTTGTGTGTGTGTGTGTTTGTGCAGGTGAGCGCTCTGATCCTGTGTGCCGGCCTGTCCTGTGCAGCCTCGGTCTTCGTGTCGGGGTACTCCTGCCTCACACTGACCTACGGAGAGGAGGACACCCAGGTCTTCCACCACCACAAAAGCCCCGAAGTGGTGAGTTCAGCAGCACCCATGGGTCCATCCAACACACTCACTGTGCATACAGTGTGTCAGCAGACTGGTCAGGTAGCACAGCGTGGCCCTGTGCCTGCTGTGGGTGAGGTGAGGTTAGGTTTGCCCAGGGGTGTCAAACTCATTTTGGTCCGGGGGCCATATCCAAACTACTTTGATCCCAAAGGGGCCGGATCAGAAAACTCAAGGCATATAAACCCCAAAAATAACAAGTTCAAATATCTGAAAAACGCAAATCTATTACAGAAATATTTTTTAATTGATGAACTCTTTCTTTTGGCGGCACGGTGGCTGAGTGGCTAGCACTCATGCCTCACAGCAAGAAGGTTCTGGGTTCGATCCCCGGGCCTTTCTGTGTGGAGTTTGCATGTTTCTCCCCGTGTCTGGATGGGTTTCCTCCAGGCGCTCCGGTTTCCCCCATCAACCCAAAACATGCTGCATAGTTCATAAACAGTTGATAGTCAAGGTCAGTTAAATACAATCAATTCAGTCATTGTGTCCTTAGGCAAGACACTTCGCCCAATTTGCCTAGTGTGAAAGTGGTGTGTGTGTGAGTGATGGTGGTGGTCAGAGGGACCGATGGCGCCGAGTGGCATGGCAGCCGCGCTTCTGTCATTGTGCCCCAGGGCAGCTGTGGCTACAATAGTAGCTTACCATCACCAGGTATAGAGTGAATGAATAATGCTGTATGAACGAATGCTGAATGAAAAATGCTGAATAAAATATAAAGCGTCTTTGGGGACAGAAATGTCTGTGAAAGTGCTATATAAATAAAGACTTACTTACTTTTACAAAATATTATATTATGAACAACCTGAAACTTTAAGAAAAATACAATTTCAACACAAAGTTTTAACATGAACTTGTATGTAAACAGGAATAAGTCCATTTTTGTTGTAAAATCCTGCACTCGGCTCCACTTTTCTCATGTTGGACATTTTTCTGATGAGGGTGTCACGGTCAACAGTCAAAACGATCGTCCTTTAAGAGCGTTTGGAAAGAGACAAGTCTTCATTTGTGCTGCTCTGGTGGGAGGGGCCACGTACAGAGACGCTGGAGACGCTGCTGTGATAAACACCACAGAAAATTAACAAGATTTTAATAGAAAATATCCTTAAAATATTTTAGTAGAAAATCAGCTGAGGGCCAGATTAAAGGTCATGGAGGGCCAGATCCAGCCCCCGGGCCGTATGTTTGACATGTTTGGGTTAGAGTGACCATATTTTCAAAATCAAAAAGTGGGACACTCCGTTTGGGATAGTTGATACTAATTTGATACCACATGTATCAAATTGATCAAAAATAGGTACACTTGGGATATTTCTTGTATAAAACTGGGACAAATCACTGGTTTTGGATAAACCTGTGGGAACAGGGGACACAGGGCTGGTGTATACGACAACCCTAGAGTGTGGAGTGAATGAATAACGCACTGTAAAGAGGTTTGGGTGTCTTGTGGGGCGCTATGTAAAATTATTATTCTACTGTGAAAGTAGTGATATTGAAATCCATTAGTTCAGCATAATGTTCATCTTCTGTTAACAATTTCAAATCAGAAGTATAAAACCAGGCAGTATTCAACATTGTGAGCCTTTTATAAACTACCTTACCTCCTACTAACCATGACCGCAGCTCCCCCTCGCCCTACTGCACTAATTCAGAAGCTCTCAGAATCCACTCTTAAGCCATAAAAATGTAGCTGTAGTGTGTCTTATCATACAAGAATTCTTCTACAGATATGATTACTATACTCAGCCTGTAACAAAAATGAAAGTGCGATATATTGTTGAAGTATAGTTGATCATAAAGCAGAATTATCCTCAAAAACGTACTATAAATGTACAAAATTCAAAGTTCATAATTCAACCTTCTACAGCTCAAATCTCATATTGCAAAGAAATGACCGAAGATTTCTCTCTAGCCCAAAGAAAACCTACCCACAATAAATATTAACCCCCCAAAACGATTGTCTCATCTGTCATGCATTAAAGACCGGGACAGGTTTTCCATACACTGAACTGCTCGTGCGCTTGCTCCCTCAGAGGTTCGTCCTGCACCGCCTGGTCAAAGGAGCCAATGTCACCATCCTCCTGAGCTGTGGGCTGGGCCTGCTTCTGTCCTCCGCCATCGCCTTTCTGTCCTGCCGCAGCCTGCCTCTCTGTGCCTGCTACGACTACACTACTGGACTGGTACGGACACTCGAATCTGAATAAAATGTGATGTGCGGTGATTTTAAAGACGGGGTGTTAGGGGGAATCTACCTTTTTGGAGCTTTTGACCATGTTATAATATTGTTCCCTTATCAAAAACGCCAGAAGAGGTTTTAGAAGTTCCCCACCTATGTTTGACTAATCTTGCAATTTCTCCCGGGACCTATTCAGACCCTCCTTACGTTTAGCTGTAAGATTCTGTACGAGGCTCCACCCACAAGCCTACATCACCCGTGCTCCCACATGACAACTCTCCATAAATATGCAAAAACCTTTATACAGTATCAATTAGTATTTGATTGTAAATACTTTTTACTGCCCAATTGTGATCTTGGCTGTATAAAAACATGATATGTTTTGGGTTTTTAACGTGCTGTGTGTTGTGCAGGAGAGCCTGGTTCCACAGTGCGAGCCTGGGGACACAGAGCTGGTGTGCACCTGGAGAGGTGAGAGGGGCTCCGGGGAGGGGAGGGGCAGTCATGTCCTTCTGTGACTGCATCCTCTGGGAATACATGCATCACGAATTTTGGACTTCCGTTCATTGTGCAATGCATACTGAGAAAGATTTTCTGAAAAAGTGAGCATCAAACTGCCATTTTTGTTTTCCCAGTGTGATGCGTCTATTGTCAAAGTCGATCTTTTCTAGTTTTTTGAACCATATCACTTTTGTTTCTGGTTTTGATATTGTCATATTTTAGTTTTGGGATTCGGACATCGTAATTGTGTGGTTGCTGGATCCTAACAAAGGAAAACGGCTTGAGAAATTTGTTTGCGAACTCCATAACTGCAAAAGGAAATCAGATGCGTGTGACTCAAACCTCTGTTCAAACTGTTTCCCTTCCCAATAGAACTGAAAATAGTGAAAGGTGAAGGTGATGGGCAGGATTGATCCACGGGAAGGACAAAAAAGAAAACGTTTGACTGCCTAAATCATCCCGAGTTTGCAGTGAACGTTTTGTTTGTGGAGCCATCAAAGCAGGATCCTGTTTGTTAAGCGAGAGGTGCAGAAGACAAACAGACTGAGCTGCACTTTCTTGTGGTTTTACAGCAACATCACGTCTTGGTCTCTTTGCAGTGGAAAGTGTTTCTTGGTGAACAGTTGGTGCCTTTCACTTTGGCGTTGACTTTTTAAATTTGTAACCAAGGTTGAGAGAGGGATCGGGATTTTGCTTTGTTGTTGCTCCACATACAAAATGTTCACTGCAAACTCGGGATGATTTAGTCAGTCAAAGTTTTCCTTTTTCGTTCTTCCTGTGGATCAATCCTGCCCATCACCTTCACCTTTCACTATTTTTCAAGTTCTATTGGGAAGGGAAACAGTTTGAACAGAGGTTTGAGTCACACACATCTGATTTCCTTTTGCAGTTATGGAGTTGGCAAACAAATTTCTCGAGCCGCTTTCCTTTGTTAGGATCCAGCAACCACACAATTACAATGTCCGAATCCCAAAACTAAAATATGACAATATCAGAACCAGAAACAAAAGCGATATGATTCAAAAGACTTGAAAAGATCGACTCTGACAATAGACGCATCCCACTGGGAAAACAAACATGGTGGTTTGATGCTCACTTTTTCGGAAAATCCTGCCCAGTATGAATTGCGCAATGACCGGAAGTCTGAAATTCTCGATGCATGTATTGGCTCTATTCACGCTTAGGTCACAAACCAGGAAGATGTTTGGAAACATGCGATTATAACTTCCAATGTAGTTCCCGACACTGGGCTCATGATCAAACACGTTGAAGTAAATGTGATCAGCGGTAAATTACAGACTGCATACGTATGTGCTGTTTGGAATCATCTTGAATGTGGCCCCTCATCTCTTCTAATCGAAAACTAAGGTTCGGTTGTAATTGTTGATTTGCCGAACATAATGGAACACTACAATAACATGGAGATGAAGAAAACTGGGCCATTTTGTCATTTTTGCTACATTTTGTCAGACTTACTACCGCTAACAGAGCCCGCGGAAAGCTGTAATCGCATGTTTCCAAAAATAAATGTAAAAAACAGGCTGTATTACACTAAAGAATTTAATCATAAGGATGAGGTTTCGGTTTTCTAAGCACGTTTCTCAACTGCTGTAGTGACATATTTCAGCCACCAGAGGAGGCAGCGACACCTTATTTAGATTTTCCAGGCTGTTTTGCCAACCGGACCACAGTTGACCGGTATCCTGGATTTGTTATTTTAATATCCAAAAAAAAAGATTAATTTTAGTTAAACTTTTAACACTATTATGTGGTTATAAAAGCATGCAAAGACATAGCAATTGTGAATAAAAAAGAAGCTACGATGTATTTTGTTAAAACAGAAAAATCATATTTGAATTATTATTTCTTTAGTTGCATGTTGAATCTTTTTAATTGCTCTTTTTTTGGACTTTAAATTGCCAAACCCAGTGACAGAAGTCCAGTGTTATTGGCATCCATTTTACACATTTATGAGCAATTTTAACTTGAATAAAAAAGTGATTTGTGTTTTGCGTACGGCAGCAGGCGACAACGACGACGAGCGCTTGTTCAACTCTCCGGCCCAGAGCTCAGAGCGGAGCAGAGCTGAGGAGGAGGAGCAGCAGCAGCAAAGCCGGTCCACACCGCCCCCGTACAGCAGACTCACCTGACAGACCCCGCCCACAGAAAACTCACCTGGAGAAACGGGCTCTATCCACGCTTACGTCACAAACCAGGAAGACGTTTGGAAACATGTGGCGACAACTTCCGGTGTAGTTCCCGACACTGGGCTCCCCGACCGACTGTGATCAAACCCGTGATCAGCGGTAAAATGAAGACTGCAGACGTATTTGCTGTTTGGAATCATCTGGAATTCAGCGCCCTTATCTCTTCTAATCGCGTGTACCCAGCGAACTCAGAGTTGTGCGTCAGTGGGCGAATGATGAAAACTGAGGTGTGGTTGTAATTGTTGATTCGCCAAACGCTACAGTGACATTTAAGATGAAGAAAACTGGAACATTTTCTCATTTTCCTACATTTCCTCAGATTTACCACCACCGGAAGTTGTCATCGCGTGGTTCCAAACGTCTTCCTTTGAATTTGAGTTTGAATACCTGAGAAAGCACTACCAGCACCTTGGTATTGAATCATTTTACTGTTTTTATTGTGGTAGAAACTGAATTTAAAAGGCGAGGCAAGTTTATTTGTATAGCACAGTTCGTACACAAAGTCGGAGTGCTGTACAGCAGGGGTCTCCAAACTTTTTCCTCCGGTGAGCTCCTTTTACAAAACAAAAATGCCAGAGAGCTACTAGTTTTATCGGTCACAAGAAATGCAGTATACATAAGAGCCACGGCAAACCTTAGATGAGGTGAAGTTACGTGAAAAAAATAAAACATAACCCATTATTCACTTATTAGTGTTTAAAGTTTGGCATCAAAATGACACATACAATGGTAACAAGCATATCATTTTCAATTTTGGTAACACTTTAGTTTAGAGACCATATATTAATAGCTAATTAAGTGGTAATTGGTATAGTAATAAGCTGTTACTTATTGTTATTATTTAGTCTTAATCAAACATTTAATAATGCTTAAGATTTTAGTGTATGCACAAAAACATCTATTGTAATCTCCTCTACTTTAATTGGAAGAAAATAGTTCATGCAGTGAAAGTAAATAGCAATAAAGATGTAATTAAGTATTTATTATGCATTTTACTATTAACTAGCTATTAAAGGTTGTATAGAAGATTTTCCAAATGCAGCGACTGTTTGTCCTTTTTCAAATGTCGCGCTTCTCTCCGCTTCCCCTTCAAAAACAGACTTTATTTTGCGGCGAACTGGTCGCGAATTCTTGTCTGACATTACAACAAACTTTGTGCAAACTGAGAGGAAGTTACAGTTCAAAAAAGACGCTAAGAACCGCTGTGTTGGTTGAGTAAACAGAATCAGTGCGTGAGAGGCGAATGTAAACCACGTAATCCCAGCGCGCCGGCAAGTCAGTGACGCTAGAAACGTAGAGAGTTTGATTTACAACCCAACAGCCAATAGATAAAGAGGTAGCCTTGTTATCTATTGGCTGATGTTTATCTGCCCTCACCACATCCACAGTTGATGGATTTTCATTCTTTTTTTTTTGGTCATCTTAATTACAAGGCTGCTGCATTTCTATCATTCTATTTTGAACTTTCATCGACAATTTGAAATAAAACAAAAAAAATCCTCCATTCAACCTTTAATATGTGACCCTAAACTACACAGATTAAGTGTCTAATAAAGTGTTACCTCAAATTTGACTTAATCAGCACAATACGTGTAATTCAGAAATTCTTTATCGAGCTACTTGGAAGGGGTTGGAGAGCTACTGGTGGCTCCCGAGCTACAGATTGGAGACTCCTGCTTTACAGAATGTGATTTTAATGCATTTCTTAATGAAAACAAATCAAAAACATGAATGATCATCATAAAATTAAAGTGGAAGAGACATTAAATGAGGGAGAAGAGTGCAGAATGAAAATGTAATTTTTTGAGCCTGGATTTAAACAGAGTCAAAGATGAGGTCTGTCTCACATCTTCAGGTTTTAGCTGCGTGAGTCTGAAACTCTGACTCTCTGTGTTTAGTCCTGACTCTGAGAACCAGCAGGAGGCCGGTCCCTGATGATGATGATGATGATGATGTCAGAGATGTAATTTGGTGCTCAGCCATGTAGAGACTTGAGCACAGGACTTGCCTACTCGTACTGATACAAATTAGTACCAGAGCTGTAGCGTTCTGGATGCACTGCTGCTGTCTTTGTCTGCTTTAGACAGTATACCCTTTGATTTTTTTCTATGTTTTTTTTTTTACACTAATAATAACACAATGTCATCATAGCTGTGACTGATACCAGCGCCACAAACCGTACTCCCCTCACTTACTGTATTTTCCAGACTATAAGTCGCACCAGCCAAAAAATGCGCAGTGAAGAAGAAAAAAACATAAGTCGCACCGGACTAAGGCGCACTTTTTGGGGAAATGTGTTTTTTAAAATCAGAGACCAGGAACTGACATTTCATCTTGAAAGACAAGTTATAGAAAAACGGCACAACACAGAACAAGACACTGAATGGGCGTTAATATGTTAATGTAACATATTAATTCAGATAATTAAAGCATAAACAACAGAACATAAGTTTACCAAACTCACAATCTCACTCCAAATCACTAAATCCATAGAATTCTTCATCCTCTGTGTCACTTCTGTGCGACCTCTGAGGATAAACCATAGATCCATGATGCAAACAGAACGCCACTTCCTCTTCTGTGTCGCTGTCGTCAGACTCAGCATCAGTTCCAGTTAAAATTATTCCGGTCTTTCTGAATTCCGACAGGATGGTTTCGATTGTCATTGAAATTCAGGCTTTGTCGGTTCATCCAGTGACTTCTAGGAAAGTTTCATGGTGCATCCTCCCGGTTGCAGTGAAGCTGTGTTCTCCATCCCCGCTTTCCCCCAGTCCCTCACAAGTTTCTCGCTCTCTCCAAACTTTCTTTCTGCTGCTCGATTACCATTTTCAGATGAATATTTCACTCTTTGTAGCGAGACAGCGGCTCTTTCTACAGGAGGCATGCACAGTAGAGCCAAGTGACAGTGGAACATGAGTAAAAGTAGTACTAGATACTGACACACAAGCCTAGAGCGCCCTCTCGCGGCTGTCACTGTGAAAATTTTAATATATAAGTCGCGCCGGAGTATAAGCCGCAAGAAACATCCAAACCATGAAAAATAGTGCGACTTATAGTCCAAAAAATACGGTATTTGAATTTAGCACTTCACTTACTCCATGTAGTTTTAATATGTATTTTAGTAATAAAGTGTTGGAATTTGTGATGACTTTTTTTTTTTTCAAAGTGGTTTCATAGACTCATTTCATATCAGAACTATTTACAGGTCATTATTGAGCCTATCCAGCTCTATCAACACAGTCAAACCTGCACGGATGGGATCTGAAACTTCTTCAGACACGTTTGTGATGAGGGAACGTTAAAAAATGGAAAGCTCCAAATTACCGATTTTGCACAATCTTTAACGCATTTTTATACAATAATAATGAATTACTCTGCACTTGTCAACATGTCTGAAAGTGTTACACAGTCTTCATTCTTTCGCTCCACACTATGACTACTGTTGTATGCACAGCTGCCTGGCCCCACTGCCCTCCACCACCAATCAGTCCAGACTAAAATCTCTTGACTAAGGACACAACAACAGGACTTGGTCTGAAAAGTCTTCAGATATGAATCAGGGCTGTCAAATCATTCTTGACAAATAAACTGGCCACTGTTGACCATTCCAGCTCGTGGGCATCTTAGAATGCAATGAGTAGTTCACTGTTGTTGAAAGAAAAAGAAAAATCCATTTATCATTTACGTTGCGGTGGGATCGGCTTCACAAACTTTTCGTATTAATCTCATGACTTCGTGTCTTTTCCTGACAATAATCACGTCTTTGGGGTAGAATAATGGCACCACTTTCTGAAGCTGTTGTGAACTGATTATTTCACTTTTGTTCATTTACAGCGACAGACGTTTTTGTTGTGTAACGGATATTGACCGTAAACCAGGTCAACAAATCCGCAGTCTGGCAGTTCAACAGAAAATTCCATTTATATAGTTCTGACCTGTCCTTCCTTCAGCTCCAACTCGGTTTTAAACTGTACAGGTGTTGCACTGGCATTTTATTCCAAAACTTTGCTTCAACATTCGACTGAACTATAGGCATCCCCTCAGACAACATGTGTTTCTTGTATGGATTAAGAAAACTTTCAGAAATATTCGTGTGCTTAGGACAGAAAGCCGTGCATATTTGTCTGTAGTTGAGCGAAAAAATAAATATTCGTGAACTCTCGAATGAGTCCAGTCATACATAAAATGTGTTGTGTGTATTTTATCCATCAGAATACAAATTGAAAAGTTACGACGTCAAGAATTACAATCACAAAATGAAAATTTACAATAATCTTCATTTATCACTTCTTGAAACATCAACGTCATCAGTTCTTCTTTCAAAATTGGTAACGCTAAGTTAAATTGCTTTTTTTATTTGGCTGTTTGTTGAATATAGCTGACATTACCATTCAGAAAGTTTGATTTCGTGAACTTGGTCACATATAAATATTGGTTAAAATATTAGACACTGGAAACCGTAAAAGGATTTTGATTTAAATTACAATCACAAAATGAAAATTTACAATAATCTTCATTTATCACTTCTTGAAACATCAACGTCATCAGTTCTTCAAAAGCCAAAGTTTTGTCTTTCAAAATTGGTCACGCTGTGCCCATTTCAGTTGGACCACAGTTCTGGCATTTTGTTCAATCTGGATTTCTAAATTTTCTAAAATTTGCATTAACAAAAACCAAATCCTTCCACTTGGAACTTTCAACTTTTGTGTCCTGTAGTTAGGTTTCCATTTTGCAGTGTAATTTGTTTATTTGCGCTACAATAAAACAGCTCCGTGGACAAAAACTAGCCCAGAGAATATGGAGTAAGAAAGCTTCCAGGGATATTTGTGTGCATAAGATGGAAATCTGTGCATATTTTCTGTAGTTGAGCATAAAATAAATATTCGTGAACTCTCGAATGAGTCCAGTCATACATAAAATGTGTTGTGTGTATTTTATCCATCAGAATATGAATTGAAAAGTTACAACGTCAAGAATTACAATCACAAAATGAAAATTTAGTTACGCTTTCTTCTGTACAAATACGAATTCACAGACGAGACTCGACTGTCAAAAAAATACAACATCGATCGAGATGCCGGACTTTCGCGCCATATACGGTCTGAACCAGGTTTTAGTCCTGGTTCAGTCCATATGCAGCGCAAAAGTCCGGCATCTCGATCGATGTTTCTTCAGCTCAATAAATATACATTTTAAAAATGCCTGTAAAGTGAGTGGAAAAAAAAAAAGTAATATGTTTATGAGAACTTAATCAGCCTGTTGCCTCCTCCAAAAGTTAAATTGCTTTTTTTATTTGGCTGTTTGTTGAATATAGCTGACATTACCATTCAGAAAGTTTGATTTCATGAACTTGGTCACATATAAATATTGGTTAAAATATTAGACACTGGAAACCGTAAAAGGATTTTGATTTAAATGGCAAGGATTCACAATTGTAAAATTCAAACGTAAAGGACTGAAGGACTGATCAAAGGCATTGTATATATATATTTTTTTAATGGGGATCAGTAAAGTAAACCTTACACTTCATGCCTACGACCAGCAGAGGACGCAATAGCTCCACTTTCTGTCCTTTTGTGTGTAGAGACTTTCTGTGGGAGGTGGTGTGGACTAAATCCAGATCTAAAACCAGGACTAAACCAGGTTTAAAATCAGTCTGTGCCTCTGCGCCTGTTTTTATCTTTTTGCAAACACAACGGTAGAAATCAACACGTGTGAAGTTGTTTTTAAAACCTTACTATGCCTGTTCTTAAACCTTTAACTAGACTAATGTGCTATATAAACTAGGGGTGTCAAATTATTGCGTTAATTGTGATTAATTAATTACAGTCATATTTAGCGCGTTATGTTTTTTAATCGCATTAATCTAATTTTTAATCTCTAACTTTACTGTTTCTGTATGCGAGTTGCTTTATTATAAAACCTGTTTTTATGTGTTGTTGGGACAACAACACACACAAAAAAAAAAAACACATTTATACATTTTTTTATTTCGGTAATTCCACTCATTGCTGGAAACCCACACAGAACGTGGCAGTAAGAGCGACGTAAACGTCATGTTAACGTTGGCGGCGTCAGTCACACAATGGACGAGGTGGAAGAGCCAGTAGAACAGAGGCAGCAGTGCACAGGGAAAAACACATTCATGTCTTGGAAATTCTTCTCCCGACGTGAAATATAAAAGAAAATAATAAAATAATATAAAATCACCTACAACTTAAATGTCACTGGTGAAAACAACCTGCATAGACTCATGATGTCTGCACTACTGTCCTATACACAAACACACAAACACACACAAACACAAACACACACACACACACACACACACACACACAAACACACACACACACAAACACACACAAACACACACAAACACAAACAAACACACACAAAACACAAACACACACACACACACACACACACACACACACACAACACACACACAAACACACACACACACACACACACACACACACACAAACACACACACACACACACACACACACACACACACACACACACACACACACACACACACACACACACACACAAACACACCTTCATCTTCGTCATTAACCTGAGAACGCGCGGACCACGTTTCTTTCCGTAGTTACTGCGCAGACACCGACGTGCTCCTGTGAGCCGCGTACGTTTTCTCGCGTAAACCGCGCTTCCTCCTGTGCACCTCTAAACCAGAACTAACACCAAGACTAAAACCAGGACTAACCCAGTCCAGGACTAAACCAGTGATTTCATACATAAATCATTTCTCTATCAATAATATTTTTAATATGGTTAAGGAAAGACTGGACTTTTTATTGTCTTTAAGTAGACAAAAGTTATTATGTTCAGATTTCCTCGTCTTTGCTACTTTACAGCAAACAGTTTTTTATTCATGGAGACTTGGGCTCAACAGCCAATTTGGAGAGATTTGTTAAACAATAAATGACTTTATAAAGTCACTTTTTTTTGTTCTATATCAGTCTTTTGATCTGCCACAATAATGTAATAATGAATTTAAATGAAAATACCTCAAATTGAAGGCTTTTCTCAGCAATTTTTAGGTGAGATTAAAAAAAGATTAATTAGATTAATTAATTACAGATCATAATTAATTAATCTCTCAGTTTTTTTTTATCGCATGACAGCACTAATATAAACATTGCAAGACAGAAAGCTGGAACAAAGGTTTCAAGGTTAAAGCTGATCTGAGAAACCACTTTACTTTATTTACTAGCAAAATTAAAAGTATTTTGATCATGAAAAATACCGATATATTTTTGTTAACCATGGAAATCAGTCATGCCGCAGAGACGGAATGCATAAATTTAGTATCAAATGAAAGAATGTGTAACTATTCCAACTATTCTACAAATCTCTCGACTCTGGAGGTGGCATGTCAGCATGGAAATTGAACGTTAAAACCACTTCAGACTAGGGGTGGGACGAGACAAATTTCACACGACAAGACACACCACGAAATTAAGTCCACGAGAACAAGACAAAACCAGATTCTGACATAATTTGTAATAAATAATAATCAAAACGTACTATAACCTGTTTCACAATTTTGGCTTTGCTGTTTTTATTTTTTATTTTTTGTCATACTTTAGTGGTTGTCGTCATCCTGCTTTTTGGAACTACAGCTTCACAAATGATACAACTCACCAGTTCTTCACTCTTTTTTATCTAAGCCAAAAGTAAATTCAGGGGGAAAGAGACTCACAAGATCACTTTTCTCCTGTGTGCACGATCTTGTGGCAATTTTGTCTTGTGAGATTTTGTTTCACGAGATCTTACTTCGGACCATTCTCCAGAGATATGTTTTAGGATGCATGTTTTTCTATGGTTTTCAGTGCAATAAAAATCAAAAAGAAAACACATACTGTGGCTTTGAGTTAAAAATATTTTAAGATATCAGCTTAACACCGAAAAGAACCAGGTCTTGAGTCAGTGTCAAGTCACAAGTGTCAGTGCCACTTTATTTAGATTTCATGATCAAAATAAGATTCACACACATTCATACACCAGCGTGCACAGACGCTGGAGGCAAGGGGTGTTTAAGTGCCGTGCCCAAAGACACAATAACCGTGGCACAGCGAAACTGAACTGTCAACCAACCTGAAGAGTATAAACATAAAGGCAGAATGACCAACAACCTCTACAATGGCAAACAAGTGCTCTGTGTTATTGAATTAACTCCACCATTTCTGCCATGCCAGCGCCGACGCTCTGCTCACTTGTACTTGAGACAATGCTGCGTTGAGAATGTCTTCAAGAAGCTGACAATACAGCCAGTGTAATCCTGTTTAGTCCCACACAGACATGCCTTAGGTTAGCGAAGGGAACACCTGATCAGGATGAAGATGCACAATGAGAGTGAAATTCTCCCTGCTTCTTTATAGAGTTATTCATATGAAGCAACAGTACACTGGCCAAACTTAAAAAATTTAATGCCATTCAAGTCATAAGGAGATTTTATGCTTTGTTTTTGCAGCAGACGCTGGATAAAAGCAGATGGATCTACACGACCCTTTGCTGTAATAAATACTTAATATTTGATGCCAATATTGACTGCACTGACTGCCGTCGTGTTAGTGAAAATAACCATTTCCTCCCTAAGAATCACACTGATATGTGCATATTGTCATATACAGAGTTATTTCAGAAGCACAGATTCTTTTTCTTTTTCGATTTTTTGGGCTTAAATAGTCATATTCCAGACCACTGGTACTGCCCCCTAGTGTCTCTCAGCAGCTGGAGCAGCTCCAGCCCCGGGCCCCCTCGTCTCGGGCCCTGTTCAGGTTGACCGTGGGCCCCCGGGACTCTGCGGGCGGCTGGCTCAGTACCAGAGGCTTCTGTGATTTCAGCTTGTGAGCCACAGTCATAAAGATGGCCTCCACGTGGTCGCTGTCCCTGTGCGGACCGTCCTCGGGGCCGCTCGGGCTCTTGGCCGAGGTCTCGAACAGCGGCATGGAGTGAGAGTCTGCAAACTGCTGCGCCGTGTCTGTGCCCACCTGCAGGGAGTCGCGCAGGTCACACTTGTTCCCCACGAGGATGCGTGGCACCTCAGAGCCCAGCGCGTGCTGCTGGCACTCCTCGATCCAGGCGGGCAGGCTGCGGAAGCTGGCCGCGTTGGTCACGTCGTACACAAAAACAATGGCGTGGACGTTACGATAGTAGTGCTGCACCATGGACTTCCGGAAGCGCTCCTGACCTGCCGTGTCCCAGAGCTGGATCTGAGCAGAGCAATGAGGGAAACACAAGTGAATTATGGAACATGCAGTAATAATACACAATACATAACGTAAGACTTGAGGTATGAGGTTATGCACTGACCTCATGAGAAAAATGCCCCTGAGAGTCCTGACTGTGGCTGTATCATGATAAATGTGCGGTGTCCCTGTTGTTTCTGCTAACTGGTTTTCTACTCGGCCTAAAGTTTACTTGATTTTCTTGTTCTAGTCAAGTATAAACTAAATATTTAGCAGAGTTGTAGACTTTTCTATTTGTGTTTGTACATGTGTTTTGAACTCTTACACTCACATACCATCACACTTCAAACGCCACTCTCTAATGAAACACAAAAACAGAGGCAGTGTGCAAAACAAAAAGGAAGAATAAATACAGACATTACACTGCAAAAAATGAAATCTTAAATGCTTCAATCAAGAAGTAACCCTGATTTGAATATATTTCCTCTTTCTCAAAATACAATTTGTATACAGAAACATTCTCCCCATTTCTAATAATACAAGTTGTTTTCTGATTTTAAGTAAAACAAGTCATTTTGAGATTGTTCTTTTGGCAATTTTTAATTTATACAGACAAGACAAATCAAGATAACTACTACTTGGTTCAAGCAGTTATTAACTAGGCGTGTAACGATGTCCAAGTCTCACGATACGATATCACGATACGATATCATCCCCGTATGAACCTCACGGTACGATATTTATTGCGATATCGTGGGAAAGATCACAATATGGTTCACTATTAGGGATGTAACAATAGGGTCAGTCCATATGAAATCAGCCATTTTCAATGAATCTCCCCTACGAGCCATCTCAAATTTAAAAAAATTTCTAAAATCACCAAATGAAAGAATCTCAAATTTTAGATCAATCCCTTGAGTCGTTCCTAAGTTATGGCCCATTGAAATTTTGCCCAATTTTTCAGAAGCCTTAATTTATAAGCATGTTTGAGAGACCATTTCTTCATAAAAAATAGAGCTAGGGTGAGCTCCACCAAAAATGACCAGTAAGAGCTCATTTTCAAAAATTCAGTTTGAAATGAAGGAAGTTAATAGTAGATGTTTTTATTACTTTAAACTAATCAGGATATGCCAAGGTTTCTCTGGTAAAAAATTACATCAACATCTAACAGTGCCACATGGGGAACCGAGGGTCCAAAGAAGGGGCCAAAAAGATCACATTTGGTCTGTGACCATATTTGGGACTCTACACCGTCCACATGAAAGCTCAGAAAAGTGTGAGATTGTATATATGTATATATATATATATATAGCGGCAACCAAATTTGAGATTTTGGTTGCCACCCACAGTGCCCCCCTTAAAAAAGATACACAATATTTGACAACAGATTCAGAATCTATGACCAAAAATCTACAATAATACACATTTTCAGCTTCCGAGCTCTATTTTTGATGAAGTTCTGGTCTCTCAAACATGCTAAAAAATTAAAGTGTTTGAAAAAATGGGCATGGCCCCAAAATTTCAATGGGCCATAACTCAGGAACGACTCAAGAGATTGAGCCAAAATTTGAGACTCTTTCATTTGGTAATTTTAGAAATTTTTTGAATTTTTTTTCTGCCAAACCTGAGATGGCTCATAGGGGAGGGCGGCTGATTTCATATGGACTGACCCAGTATCTAAATCTCTCGGTTTTCACGATATACATCTCACTGTACGATATTTATTGCAATATTTTGTGGAGGCAAACAAAACTGTTAATATTCTCCTTTTTCCTCTTAAAATGTTAAAATTAAAACTAAGACTTAAAAGTGCTTAGAACTGTTATTTCTTCATGTAGTCTACACTCACATGGAGCAAAGGACCGTGGTCTATGTCTTTATTTTACTTTATTGCCGCACCATAACTCTTAGTTTAATCAAAGAGACTTAATTCGATAAATTGTGACGGTCCACGATATTATTGTGAGAACTTTGACGATACGATGTCATGATATTTCAGTTATTGTTACATCCCTATTATTAGCGTTTTATCTTATTGAAGTTTTTTTTTTTTTCCTACTGTAAAAAGAAGAAAATACAGGGAGTGACGCCACGAATGGTTGCGTTTATCTGTGAGACACTTCACCTGCATCTGCCAAATCACTGTGACATAATATGCACAGTCCAATGCAGAAACAATGACTGACTCATGCACATTTGGAGTAAATATGTGCTTGTGTTTTTATGTTATAACGTATCTATTCATCCTTTAGGAAACCTGCCAGCCCCGCAGAGCCCCGCAGAGCCCCGCAGAGCCCCGCAGAGCCCCGCAGACAGCCCCGCACAGCCCCGCACAGCCCCGCACAGCCCCGCACAGCCCCGCACAGCCCCGCACAGCCCCGCACAGCCCCGCACCTTGATTTTCTCCCCGTCGATCTCCACCAGCCTCTCCCTGAAGTCCACCCCGATAGTGGCCTCGGTTTTCTCGGGGAACTTCCCGGCGCAGAAGCGGTAGGTGAGACACGTCTTCCCCACACCCGAGTCTCCGATCACGATGATTTTAAAGATGCGGGTCCGCGGCGGTGGGAGGCTGGAGCTCGTCAGGGAACCGGAGAATTCAAGCGAAGAGCCGATGTCCGCCATAGCAACAGCAGCAGCGGCGGAGGTGGCGGCGGCGGCGGCGGAGGTGGCGGCGAGCCCGGGGGGGAGCAGGGCGTTCTCCGCAGCGGCTCGGCGGACACTCACCCCGCCCCTGCACGTCAAACAAAGCGCCTGTCAGTCGCTCCCATCGCTTCGTGAATCATCTAAACATGTAAACGCGTCTGCACCGAGCGCCACAGTCGAGGATCCTCCGCAGATTCTCAGCAGACTCAATGTAAACACGACCGAGCCACGTACGACGTCCTCCAGCTGACGCAGATCTCGCGAGGTAATCCGGTTGCAGCATTCTAAACAGTCCCGTGAGGAAACAAGGGAATGTGAAGGCCGTCGCTGAGTCGTTCCGTCTCCCTCCCCAATCCACCACATGACTCCTGTAGACCGACATAAAAAGCCTGGACAGTGTTAATAATATGTTAGGTCCACCTTTCTGTTTATTACTTTTCATTATTTTTGGGGGCGTGAGAAGGTTTTTAAATTTCATCTGAAAAATGCCCATTTGAATCATCAAAACAGTGAAAATGTCAAATGAATTATAAAAAAAGTTTCCTTCCTCTGAACAAGCAACAAAACTGTAGTGCAGTAACAAAACAAATAGAGAAAATATACCCCAAAATACTCTTGGCGATATATCGATACAGCAGCCCACGATATCGATACCGTATCATCACATTAAGCGACACGATATATCGATATATCAATATTTTTGCACAGCCCTAATACATATAACATATTGCATGACATTTTTCAAAATCAGCTTGAGTTGTCTTAGTTCTGCTCTTTGGTTCTAACTCAGGATATATTATATAGCCTAGGTGGAGATATAATGAGGATAAGAGTAATCATTTTTAAACCTATTGTGTGTTCACATATTTATCTTTAAAAGTCCTATATTACAATTGACATTATAATATAAATTAGAAAATAGAGTAATATAGGCCCTTTAAGTTCTGTAGTTCCACTTCCCCCCAGGCTGATGCTGTGTCTGTGGACTGGGGTTTCTGAGAAGCAGAAAAGCATAGGTTTACATTTTCCTACAAAAGCAATTTATTAATAATTGCTCACAAGTTTCTCCTCTTCCCATACGATTTCAATTCAACAATTTGTCAGGTTATTACATAGCAAGTACCAGTGTTGGGGAGTAACAGATTACATGTACCAGAGTTACAAAATCAGAGTACAAATTATGAGTAACTGTATTCAGTTACAGTTACTGTTTCAGTGAGTGGTAATTGGATTACAGTTACTTTGTTGAAATAAATGGATTACACGGCGGTATTTTCCTGTTTTTACATTTTGGGCTAAATCCCACTTTTCTTTTTCTTTTTTTTTTCACTCATTGCCGGACACTAAACCAGGTCTAAACCAGGTCTAAAACAAGGTGTAAAACCAGATATAAACCAGGTCTAAAACCAGGTCTAAACCAAGTATAAACCAGGTCTAAAACCAGGACTAAAACAGGATTTAACAGGATTTAACAGGACTAAATCATGCTGCGTGGACATGTCTCCTCGTCTTCTATCACTAATACTTTTAATATGGGTAAGGAAAGTCTGGGCTTTTTATTTTCTTTTATCAGATAAAACATCTTATGTGATGATATCCTGGTCTTTGTTTCTCTACAGCAAATCAAGTAATCCAAAGTATTCAGATTACATTACTCACTTTAAGTAATTTAATGGATTACTTTACAAACTACATTCTGGGTTATGTAATCTGTAGGGGAATACATTTTAAAAGTCACCTTCCCAACACTGGCAAGTACTGACATGAGCACTGTGTCAGTTTGGTTTATGTCATGTCATGTAAGATTACGTTCTACCTAGAACACTTTGCAAGATCTAAAATATTTTATTCACTAGAAATTATCCAAATATTTTGGATATGATCATTTCAAAGAGCTCTTAATATTTATTTATATGAGAGAAGCCAATGTGAGAACTTATTTAACTACAAACTAATCACGTATTTGAAGTGTGAAGTAAAAACAAAACAGCCACCACAATTCAGTGCAACAACAGATGTAGTAAAAGTCATATAGAGTCTGATCAGAGTGTCTGATTTACCAGCCAAACTGCTGTGGGCAGGGAGCTGTTGGGGAGTTGAGTAGTTCTGGTAAGCTTCAGTGAATTTTGGCCTAAATCTAAGTTTGTGCTGCCTTCAGGTGCCGCTGTAGTGTAGTTGGTGACACCACAAAAGACTGTCCTGATACAGACTGATGTTTCTGATACAAACACGTGGCTGCGGGGGTGGAGTTTGAAGTGTGGATACCTGTTTAGACCAATCACACTGTTCCTTGTACCATCAAGTCCCACCCCCTCACTCTCCCCCTGAGGCCCTGTTTACACGTACTCAGGTATTTCTAAAAACTGAAACATTTCCCTTTGTATGTTTGCATCTTTTACACAAATGGCAAATTCACCTCTGAAAACGAATCTTTCAAAAAACTCCAGCTAGAGTGGAGATTCTGGAAAACTACAGTTTGGCGTTTGCAAGGAACTGACGCACCAAAACTGCGACCAATGTTTCCGTTTTGCTCTGATCATGATGGTGATGATGATGAAGAAGAATCAGAGCATCAGTCACATTTCTTCTGGTGAAACACTTTTCATGTGTTTCATTTGCACACACAGCTGATGTTTCATATCCACGACCAGAGAGCAATGAGGCTTGGAGGTCTGTGATTTTACCACTTCTTTAACAGATCTGTGGAGAGGCGAGCTCGCTCACTAATGCACGTTTTTCAAGGTATTTGTGTGTAAAACTTACAACTGTAATGAAATAAATGCTACAGGTTTAAATCTAATCCAGGTGCCGCCCAGAAGGTTGGCATAGTTATGACGGCGCTCGATGGAGGATTTATGCAGGTTGATGTAAACCAGGGGTGTCAAACTCATTTTGGCCATATCCAACCTACTTTGATCCCAAATGGGCCGGATCAGAAAACTCATGGAATATAAACCCCAAAAATAACAATAACTAACAAACAAGTTCAAATATGTGTGCAGAGAAACGCAAATCTATTACAAAAATCTTTTTAAATTGATGAACTCTTTCTTTTACAAAATATTATATTATTATGAACAACCTGAAACTTTAAGAAAAATTTAATTTCAACGCAATATTTTAACATGAACTTGTATGTAAATAGGAATAAGTCAGTTTTTCTTGGAAAATCCTGCACTCGGCTCCACTTTTCTCATTTTTGACAACAGTCAAAACGATCGTCCTTTAAGAGCGTTTGGAAAGAGACAAGTCTTCATTTGTGCTGCTCTGGTGGGAGGGGCCACTTACAGAGACGCTGGAGACGCTACTATGCTAAGCACTGCAGAAAATTACCAATATTTTAATTAAAATATTTTATAGGAAAATCAGCCAAGGGCCAGATTAAAGGTCTTGGAGGGCCGGATCTGGCCCCCGGGCTTTATGTTTGACACCTGTGAACAAAAAACTTTTTGAAAACAATGCTGTGTGCATGATGTTATTTTGGAAAATGGAGGGAAGGAAATATTCGTTTCTCAACAAACTCGGCTTTGTGTAAAAGTAGCCTTAGTCCTCCATGTTCTGCAGTTCTTTAGTTTGCAGTTCTAATTGAAATGTGGTTGTGGTTGTAGTTTTGGTGTTTTAGCCCCACTTTATATATAACTGTGATCTTTGTTAAGTGTGACCATCAAAATAGAAATAGAAGGAACCGTTCAAAAGAGCTGATTCATTCACAAACGTCACATCAGTACATCATCATCAGCGGTGCGGTGGCTCTGGTCACGCTCTCCGCTCTGGCCCTCACAAGCCACAAACACAGAACACAGAGAAGTCAGATGACAATCGAACTGAAATGAAAAGCTACAAAGATCAAAAACAAACAAAATGTTAAGTTGAAGACCATTTTATTTCAAGGGAAGAAACTATGATACAGGTTTGTAGAGGTAAATTTAATATAAACACATTTTTGGAGTTATTGGCTCTAGTCACACTTACGTCACAAACCAGGAGGATGTTTGCAAACATGCAATGACGACTTCGGGTGTAGTTCCCGACACAGGGCTCGCCGAGTGACTGTGGTAAAATGAAAACTGCATAGTTGTGTGTCAGAGGGGAAATGATGAAAACTGAGTTATGTTTGTAATAGGAGGGTTTCAGTCACGTGATCACGATGATGCGCGAATTTCAGGTGGAGGGCAGGAAGTGAAGACAAACACGACAAACACGGCTCTGGAGAACACAGATATGGAGAAGAGTTCTTATTGTAAGGATTTAGAGCCAGTAGCGAGGCAAAAGTACAAGCAGTTAGTCGACAAATATATTGGGCGTGACTCCGATCTGATGAAAATGAGAGAATTTTCAACCGAAGTAAAAGATTTGCCGACAATCGAGGCAGAGGAGATCACGAACTATTTAGCTCTTCAGACATCGTTCTACACCAGACAACAGATGAAGTCGTACAAAAGTTTGGAGGCATATAACTTTTTTTGTCAGTGGATGGATCCTCAACCTTGGTGCAAAACGACTAAATGATGATTATGGTTTGGTCTTCGCCGGGGTGAGTGTTTCTCTTATTTTATGCGTATAGACGTTATGGGAAAAACTGCAGCGTATCGGCAGTAACCTCTATCTGAACTATTTAATGTCAACAAATGTCGTTAGCCGTTAATGATTTGTTTATGTTTAGGTAAACCACAAAAAACAATTTAGCTTTGTAACAAACCTTTGTCGAAGTGTTCACTGCAGACACGAGCATTAGCGGATTCTGATTCTCCCGACCGCAAACAGGTTTGTAATCCACTTTTTACGGCGTTGTTCTGTCGGCTTTTCCCATTTCTGACCTTTGTGGACGACGATATTCGGTACTCTAAAAAAATCACTTTTCCTTCTCTCGGTTAGAACGATTGGCACAGCCGTAAACTACACAACACATCGGCATTTTCCTCCAGTCAGTTCACTTCCTGCCCTCCATCTGATTTTGCGTGCTGACAAACGTAGCCCTGTGACGTCACGTGAAACCCAGATATTGTTGACTGGCCGAACATAACGGAACGCTACAAAGACAATGGACATGAAAAAACGGGGACATTTTCTCATTTTTCTTTGATTTTTGTTTTTATGACTTACTACCGCCGGAAGTTGCCGTCGCGTGTTTCCGAACGTCTTCCCGGTTTGTGACGTGAGTGTGACTAGAGCCTATCGAAAGAAAATGAAAAGCTCTGAAAATACAATACAGCAAACAATTTATCAAGATGGAAAACCAACAAAATGTCACGTTGAAGACCATTTTATTGCAAGGGAAGAAATTATGATACAGGTTTGAAGAGGTAAATTGAATATAAACACATTTTTGGAGTTATTACATGATGTGTAAGGAACATGCTCCAGAACACAGCTGCTGCAAGGGTCTGGTGCTGTTTTTTTTTTTTTTTTTTTTTTGGTGAAAACTAACTAACTAATGCGTCAATCAAAGTTCTATGTTATTCTGCAGTAGCGATTATCTGTGCCATTATATAGGCTGATATAGAATTAAATGAATAATAAATGTTGAATCCGTGTGTCATTCGTTCATTCGTTTTTCAAAATAAAACCAAAAATAACAAAACACAAAACGAAAAAACAACAATTTTCTTCATTATCTGTCTCCAAAACCAAAATGAAAAAACGGGTGACGATTCAGGACTTAAACTGAGATGCTGGACTGAACCAGGACTAAAACCAGAACTGAACCAAGACAAAACCAGGTCCCGGTCTCAGTCCTGGTCTGGGCCTGGTCTGGTCTCAGACTCTGACCTGGTCTCAGTCCCAGTCTGGGCCTGATCTGGTCTCAGTCTCAGTCCTGGTCTCAGTCCTGGTCTCAGTCCCGGTCTGGGTCTGGTCTTAGTCCTGGTCTGGTCCCAGTCTCAGTCTCAGATTTTCAGTTTTTTTCCTAGTCCCTGTCCTGAAACTCAGTTCTGTTTTAGTCCTGTTTTAGTCCGTTATCCGTTTTTTTCCATTTTTCATTTAAACACAAAAATTGAAAACTGAAAAAGCAAATCAATATCTGTTTTTTCACTTTGGTTTTGGAGACAAATAATGAAGAAAATTATAATTTTTTTTTGTTTTCTTATTTTTGGTTTTATTTTGAAAAACGAATGATACACGGATTATTTTGGCATGCCTTGGAAGCTTTTGATCTTAGCAAATGTAAACCTGATAAAGATTTAAATTAGAAAAAGCTCGTATAAAATAAATAAAAAAACAAAATTTTCACAACACATACAATTTTGGGAATGGGTGGTTGCCAGGTATGGTCAGATAGCTGTAAATGGACAGTAGAATATGAATTATTGAAGTGAATGAGTAATATTGTGAACATTCTCAAAATATAAGTGTAGTTAACTTAAAGCACCAGTCCAAACTACTTCTCAGATGCATTCGTCACATTCTTGCGATGAGTTTTTATACACGATTCACAACTTTCAGGGCGAGGTTTTGGCATCACGCTATAGACCTTTTTCATAACAGCCGGAAGTGCCTCGCTGTAGGTTTGCGGAACTTCCTGTTAATGGTTTTCTACGGCAAAATGTCGGTGGAAATGTCCGGCGTATCCTCCAGCATCTTCATAAATCTGCCCCGTCTCCAAATCTTCAACCAACAAAGCCCACAAAGGATAAACATGAAGAATTTATCGGCAGCTATCAAGGCAAGAAAGACGAAAAAGAACGACGAAAGCTTAAAGGTGTTACGGTTTCGTAGACATCTCTAGGATCTCGCATTCGAACAGCACAAATCTATCTATCTATGCTAATATCGACATCATGAAATCGAATTTTAAATTTTAATTGTAGAGCCAGTCTGAGTGAACAAGTTAATTCTGTTTTATTCATGACCGTGACGTTAGTTTTGTTCAGTAGTTCACTAATGCGTCGTCGTTGTTGGTTGAAGATTTGGTGATGGGGCAAAATTTATGAAGCTGGTGGAGAATACGTCATGCATTTTCACCTGGAAGTTCTACAAATCTACAGCGCGGCACTTTCGGTCGTTGTAAAAATGGTCTAATGACTAACGACAACTTGCCGTGCCAACAGCGCACTGCCATTGCGTTTGTTATTGTTAAAAACGCTCCATTGTTAGACACAGACAGCTTGTGGCATTTTAATTATAATACGGCAAAACAAATGTAACTTCACAAATAAATAAGACACAGCCGCTTTAAGACTCCGCGGACACACCTCTGTCAAAAAGGATCCCATGTTCACAACTCCAGACTTCTCTTGCACAGTTTTTGAGCCCATAAACCACAACTGGACTCATTCTGGGGTCAAAGTGTGTTCACAGCGAATGTATTAGGATAGCATTCACAAGGATAAGGATTTAATTTATTTATTTTCTAATTTTCTAGTAGGTTTTAAAGTGCATTTTTCCAAAAACAGGACATTACTCTACGTTAGCGATGTGAAATAGAAATAAAATGTGAATTAAAGCCACAAGAAAGCAAAATGTGTGTGTTTTTAAAGTGGGGGTATTTTACTTCTATGGGGAATTCATTGCTGACACTAGGGTGACCAGACATCCCTATTTACCCAGGACAGTTCCAGTTTGGTAGCCAGGCTGGTGCCACCTAATCCCTCCACTCAATTTCATTTCTCTCCAGCGACTAGGTCAGGAATCAAAATACACTAGACCAGGCATGTCCAAACTATGGCCTGTGGACCAAATGCGGCCCTCTGACAAATTTTTCTTGGCCCTCAGGCTTACAGGTGAATTGGCCCAAATTACCTTGCATCAATTAAAAATGAACTTTTTACTGCAAGTCTTTTTGAAAATCTCCCATGATGAACCTAAAGTTTAATATTTAGTGTGTGGTTTTAAGGATCTTAGAATGAATAAAGACGATGGCTCATTCTAACGTGTTAAACATGCACATATTTCAATTATTCACAGTATTGAGCACCAGACTACAACCCTCGATCAGCCCTCTGCTTCATCTGTGTTTAGATATGTGGCCCTTGATGAAAAAAGTTTGGACACCCCTGCACTAGACGGTTCACAAAAACCCCAGAAGTGGAAGTTCGGGCACCAGCCAATCAGCAAAGAGCCATACATTCAGTGTTGTTAACGATTCCCGAGATCGAGGATTTAAAGCCGGAATAAAGAGAATGTTTGGTGAATTTTATCAAGAGGAAAGACGTAATTGTCCTACTTCCTATAGGATTTGGGAAAAGCTTAATATACCAGTTCTCTATGGAAGATAATTTGTTTCATCAAATTTTGAATTTTAAATGCTGTTGAATTTCATACTCTGATTTTTTTTTTACTCTGAAAAAACATGTTTGAATTTTTTTATTATGAATTTTTATTTGCTGAAATTTTAAGTGTACATTTTCAGTGTATAAAATTCAATATTAAAAAAAATCACCTTTTAAATATTCAGCACAAATATTTTCAGGCCTTCAAATTCAACAGTCGAAATTCAGAATGTAAAATTCGCAGTGAAGAAAATTCACAGTAACCCGAGATGCCAAGGCAGAAGCAATCGATCCAAAGTGATCCGATCTAACTTAGTAAGAAACAGAAAATGTTGCAGTGAAGCGATCTGATTGGTCAGAATTAGCATCACTGAAACTTCATCTCTTTGATTTGTTAAGTGTAAACCCCGCCCACAAATGAGAACAGCCAATAGGAAACAGCCTCTCTCCTCCTCGCTCACATGATCGATTACTTCTGCCTTGGCATCTTGGATTTTTGCTGTGATATTTTTCACTGCGAATTTTACCTTCTGAATTTCGACTGGTGAATTGGAGGGCTTGAAAATACCTGTGGTGATTTTTTGGTTTAGTTTGAATTGAAAGTAAACTTCAAATTTCAGCCACTAAAATTCAGAATAAAAATAATTCAATCATCTTTATTCAGAGTTTAAAAAAATTCAAAGTGAGAAAATCTGTCATATTTATAATTCAAAATCAAATTATCTTCCATAGTTATCCCTGTTAGTGGCGCATTACATACACAAATTCTAACACTGCGAGGTCACATGGTTTCTACGAAGTGAAACCGGCTGATGAATCGGGCTACCAGTTTGGAGCCCTGTGTCCAAATCCATTGATTTGTCCCAGTTTTATACAAGAAATGTCCCAAGTGTCCCTATTTTTAACCAATCTGACCCCTACCAACAGTAAAGAGAAGCATAAATTGTCATTTGTTTCGGTAAAATACAGAAAAGCTACTTTAAAATGACCAAAACACGAAGAAAATGTGACTATACAGACTCATATTTCAGTCATAAATAGGCCGAGTACAGAACAATTTTCCTTCTGGTCACCCTAGCTGACACATAACAGATTTTAATCACCATGTTATCTTTTATTGTTAAACTATTAAAATAACCACTACATGTTTTAAAAGTTTTGTTTTCTCCAAGTCACTCCCCCTTCAGAGCATTATCACAACACCATCAGCGCGCGTCACACTAATGAAACTTCTGCACATCGCATCAGTTTGTCAAGTTTGTAAAATATTTAGGCAGAATTGTCGTGTGGGAGCATAGATGACAGAATTTCGGGCTGAGGATCGGACAGAATCTTACCACTACACGTAAGGAGGGTTCAAACAGAGCCCGGGAGAGATCCCTAAATGACCAAAACATGCATGAATGACATCTCAAACCTCTTCAGGCTGTTTAGATGATGGTAGAAAGCTCAATGAATATTTTGCATAATACCAACTCTTTAATGGTTCAGAGCACAAAAAAACAACTGTCACATTCTTAATTTTATTGCCGTGGTTCCCAGTCCCTTCGACATTTGAACGTCAGCCACAATATCTCAAATATTTCGGAGAGATAAATGGATAGACCCAGGGTTCCCACTCTTTTTCTCTGACAGATTTTCAAAACTGACCTAAAGTGAATTTTCCATGACTTTACGGCACCTACATGTATAAAATTGATCAGACTTTTAGGGCGAAATATGAAATGTTAACCCTTTCCACTCATCTAATGGTTTGGTTTATAGTTTTTTAATATTCAAAATCGTGTCAGTGCATTTATTGTCGTTTCTTTTAAACAAAAGGCGCAGATGTTCGTAAATAACCATAACAGCCTAATGATAATTTAACAGAACGCTGTAGCTGCGTGAAAGAGATACTAAAATTTCATGACTTTTTCAAAACTTTCATTGAATTTACACAGTTTCCGCGACTTTTCCAGGATTTCCATGACCGTGGGAACCCTGTAGACCAACAGTGAAGATTTTACGCAAAGTACCACAATTGGGGAACCAGTATTGTATTGCATGATTGAATGTTCGTGTGAGTAACATTTTCCATTAGTCTTGCAAAGTTTCATCCTTTGCTACGTCCTTTGGTTCTTCCACTGCCTCAACGTCCTTCTCATCTCTTAGAGTCACTTGTGCTCCACCGTCATCTCCAGGTTCCACCTCTGAACCTGAAGCCACCACCTGATCTTCCACCATAGTGACCACAGAGAATTCCCTCTTGCTGTCCGGACGAGCTTTAACAATGGTCACGCCGCTTACTCTGCCCCCTAGAGGAGAGGACGGAGACAGCTGTGGAGAACTTCTACCGTCATCCGCAATTCCGAGGTTCTGCAATTCAGGTTTCTCCATCGATTGCTGCGTGATGGAACCTTCTGGCTTTGTTTGACTTCCGAGACCAAGTTCTGATATATCCTCTTGTAAGCTAAAACTTGGAGAAGAGATCTGCAAAGATGACATACTTTTGTCCGAAGACCTTAATGCCGATCCTCTAGGTTGATCTGACGACAGTTTAGGACTCGAAGCAGGTTGCGAAGTATCTTTAGCGCTAAATTTTGGACTTGGCGTAACGGCTATTGGCGAAGTAGGAGTTCTTACTGAATACGAATGCGGTGAGGAACCTAAGCTGATCAGCGCTGGGCTAGCAAACGAGTCATGCTCCAGAACGGGACTGGTGCAGGGATCAGGAGGTGTCTGGGTGCTTGGAAGATCTATCGGAAAATTTGAGTCAGCTGCGAACGGGCTGAGCACTTCACCAGGATCGGGCAAAGGGGATAAAGGTGTGGAGGTTTGCAAGGGTCCAGGGCTTAGAAGAACATGTTGGTTTGTCTCCTCAACAGTTTCCGGCGATTTTGGAGAAGATTTGAGGGACATCTGAAGCGAGCTTGGTGCAGGTGTTGATGCTGCAGGTACATTTTTAGTTCCTTGCGTTGAACTTCCCACAGCAATGGCATTTGACGCTCGAGTTTTGATTGCAGACGCATCAGAAACAGATGTTTTCACTTCTATCGGATCCGCCACACTTTTGAAATGAATGTCTTTGCTTCCATTTTCGCCATCCTCGTTTTGCGGCTCCTCCAACACAACTGGCTGTGGGATGAATTTCACCCCGTCCCTGCCGGTACTGACCACCTTAACGCCGGTGGGGTCGCTACCACGCCTCAACCCGAATAACGTCAGGCTTCTCCTCCTCTTCCCCGTGTTCGGAGCCACATGTCGTTGGTGCTTTCTGAAGGGGGGACGACGTCCTTGAACATGTTTCGCAGGTTGTAGCCGGCGTCCTTCCTATCGTCGCTGTCCTGGGATTGGTCCAGTTGGTCCCCGGAGCCGACCAGCACGTCCGGAATCCTGCCGCTGATGTCCGGGTTCTTCTTGCCTGTGTGTGTGACCCGGAATCTGAAGAGGAAAAAACATAAATACTGGTCAAAAACGTTATATATGACAAGGATAAACTATTTAGACTAGTGATTCCTAAAGTGGGGAGTCACAAAATTAAAATAATAATAATATTTAACCAATTATTTCATTGAATACAATACATTTTGATGAAATCTGGTCAAATAATTATATATGTATTATACCCAGTATTGGGAAGGTGACTTTTAAAATGTATTCCCCTACATATTACAGATTACATACCTCAAAATGTAGTTTGTAACGTAATCCATTAAATTACTTAAAGTGAGTAATGTAATCTGAATACTTTGTATTACTTGATTTGCTGTAGAGAAGCAAAGACGAGGAAATCGTAACATAAGATGTTTTGTCTGATAAAAGAAAATAAAAAGCCCAGACTTTACTGAACCAAATTAAAAATATTATTGATAGAAGAGGAGACACGGTCCGGGCAACATGATTTAGTCCTGGTTTAGTCTTGGTTTAGACCTGGTTTAGTCCTGGTTTAGTCCTGGTTTAGTCTTGGTTTAGTCCTAGTTTGGACCTGGGTTTAGTCCTGGTTTAGACCTGGTTTAGACCTAGTTTTAGACC